TGAATGTGATTTTCATTTTTTTTTCTTTTTTTTTTCACTGCGACTGAATCGAGGATATACACGAGGTAAATGATTCGAGGCAACATCAACCTCGTTTAACATATTAATTGAGAGTATAAAATACTTTCAAACCGCTGCCGAGCTTTGAGAAACGAGAATTCGATAAAAATGTCGCGCATTTGTATAATGTATCTGTAAAATTATTAATTTAATCTGGTTCTTTTTCTTTTTATTTATTCGAACGAAATTCCTGGTTAGTTTTGCGCGTGCGTGACGATTTTTGAATAAAGGATCGATGCGACGCAATCATGCGTGCGTAAAAATATTTCCTCTGAAAATTTTGAGGGGGAAAAAATTGCTTTCCACGAAAAAAACAGAGAGAAAGAAAATAAAAGGAGTAGAAGAAAGAAGAAGCGAAATACACAAATTGCCTTTTCTAGTCCCTCTTACTCACACGCACAGCACGACGCTATATATATGCAATAAGCAAAACAATCAGCTGAGACTCGGGGGCTAGGCTATAGAGATATATATACATAACGTATATATATATAGTATATAAGGGATTTAACAAGTGGAAATGAAGCTGCCTGTCTTTCTCTCTCTCTCTTTCTCTCACTCTCTGCTTTATATACATGCTATACAGGAGCTAGGCAAGGCCGAAATTTCACGTGGAAAAAGCGTCAGGCGACAGGAACGCGCGCGCGCCAGTATAAAAGAGAAAGAGATGTCCTCTCATCTGTGCTCGCTCTCTGATGTGCTGCTGCTGCTGCATTGCGCGCGCGGTGGCCCGCGCTCTAGCTGCCGCTGCTCTTGGACGCGAAATGAGAAAATCTCGTTGGCAAGGGTCGTACTCTCTCACTCGGTCGCAAAACCCGGAGCAGCAGCAAGCGAGTGCTTGGGAAAGATAACGGGATGAATTTTTCTAGTATCAGGTGCGGGGGGCGGAGGTGGAGTAGGACGTCTCTCTTTCTCTCCCTCTCCCATTAATGTTGATATCCACGACGAGCTTGCGGATTAACGAAGCCCTGAAGAGTTGATGCTGCTGCTGCCTGTGTAGGAGATACTATATATATATTCGGGGTGGATGGCAAAAGCAATCCCGACAAAAAAGCGCGTTTCATTCTCTCTCTCTCTCTCTCTTGTCCCTTACTCTCTTATTTTTCGACTAAATGCTGTCTCTCTCACTCTCTCTCTGCCAGCTGTAAGTCGTCGACGCAATTTTTATTTCAAGATATCGCATCAGCAGCAGCAGCAGTTACTGCTCCGACCCCTATATATAGTGCGGGAAAACGAGTGAAAATTGATTCACAGCTCTTTGGGCGATACAGCGCTGCGCAGTTGGACACTTTGTCCCGAAAGTTCCGCGCGGCCTCGGAGAATATAATGAAAAATGCAAATTAAAACTACTTATATTTGCTTTGAAGGACAGAAGATGCGCGTCGCAAATATTTATGAGCTTTCAAAGTCTCTTCTCCGATGTCCTCCCTTCCTCTCTCTCTCTCTCTCTCTCTCTCTCTCTCTTTTCCCGCCGTTCTCTGAATATTGCATGGGTAATCGACATTGACGAACTAGCTCTCTAAGACTCGCGCGCGCAATCTCATTTCTCGTCGGCTAGATATCCGAGTGGCGAGCGGGAAAGTAAGGGAGTTGAAGTAGCGCGCAACGAGATATCATAGCTCGAGAAAGATTTTAATCGTTGAAAATCTCAGCGGAGCGCTTCTAAATAATCCATAAAAATCTATGCCAGTTGACTCCGCGACTCGAGAGAGCTCATTGGGTTTGAAGCTGCGCGGGAAGAGCGAAGCCTCGAGAGACAGCTAGCTAAGTCGCTATATACGTCGAAGGCACGACGACGAGCTGCGCGTCTCTGAATCTCAATTCGATGTGAAAGAGAGATGGAGAGAGGGAAAAAACAACAGCGCAGCAGTCGATGCGCCTCACTTTGTCGTGTGTATACGCTCCGTTGAACGCCACTTGTACTTCGCCGCCGCCACGACTTCTTAGATATAGGTATATATAATGTAATAGCAGCGTCACGGTTTTTTACCTCGCCTATGTGTACTCCGCAGTTCCGTGAGAGAGAAAATACACTTAAGAATACGCTGTTGTACGTATGAATTCTTTTCTCGTATTACGTACTTCTCTCCTTTTCTTCCCTTTCTTCCTTCCTTCCTTTTTTTTTATGTAATGCGAGCCGAGCGAGCAGATGGCGGGTAATATCATTTATAGCCGTTGCGCGCGCGCACGCGAATATACGTGAAAATGACGCCAATCTTTGTTGTTGCTGCGTTGCGCTTTTTCATACGCACCACCGGGTAATGGTCGTATGGAAGAGCTGCGCGTTTTTGCATCACCCCCACAGCTACACAATAAAGTCGGTGTTGTTTTTTGATGAAAATGGATTATCCACGCGCGCGCGCACGACACAGTGTCGCGTTGGATATAAACCCATAATAGCCTGATTTGAATCACAATGCAGCAAGCAGCAGCAGCAGAGAAAGCTCACCGCCACCACTACCAGGGCATATATCTTTTGTACGAACCTTGTATTTTTCCTCGATGCACACATAGATCCTTTCCTCCCTCCGGCTTCCGAATCATAATTTAGAATTGATGAAAGTCGCTGCTGCTTCTGCTACCTATACGTTATATACGCAGGCCTTTTTTCATTATTACGTGTGTCTTTGATTGCTCATCACTCGCTCGCGCGAGCAGAGGTGCACAAAAAATTCCATCGAAATTTTTTCAAAGAATCGCAGCGTATATCTATAAGTTTTCGGATGAGATATCTCTCCATTCAAAGGCACTTGACAAGCGGTGCAACGTGAACCAAAAAAAATGTAACCGGCAAAACCGTCTCTTTTCTGGGGTATGCTTTCTTTTGTCATGGCCCATCTATGCTACGTCGCGAAGCAAAGCGAGAGGGAGAAAGACAGAGGGAATTTCGCGTGTTTTACAAAGACACACGAGAAAATTAATACTAGCAATTAAAAAGGCCTGGGATATACGGAGACAACCATCGCTGCTTTTGGCAGTTCTTGTCCCTCTTTTTACGTGACACACATACGCGCAAAACATGAAAGCAAGCAATGAAGCATTATGTATGGGGACAGAGAGAAACCGCCTTTAAAATTAGTTTTCGACGACGAAGCTCCGAGCCTGACCCAGTCGCGAGAGAAAGATTATTTTCGCACGATTGAAAGTACCTTGTGCTCGTGCCAAAGCTGCCGTTACTGATGCGGTCGCACTGTTCACGACGCTGAAACATCTAAACAGAAGATGGCTTGTACTCTTTCGGGGTGAGAGAAATTGAATTTTGTTTGTCCAGGTAAAGAGAGAGAGAGAGAATCGTCTCGCTGCTCAGCTTTATGCAAAAACGTGTTGTATCGCTGGAAACGTTTAACATTTAGTTCTATGCATTTTGTAGATTGTTGGGCGTTTATATTAATTTAAAAAAGCGGATAACTTCTTAGAAAAATGAGAAACGTAAGATGTGTCTTGTGTATTGTGTAAATTATATACAATTACTTCCACGTACTTTACCACTTGTAGATTTACAAATGAAGGTACTCGCCACCTAGCGGCGAATGCAGGCTTAAATGATGTTAGAATTGACATGAAGTTTTCGTCCAATGGAAATCATAATGATTAAATGTAGGTTTAAAATTGAATCTCTTTTGTTTATTTTCGTAAATAAAAAGTGATGTATGTGATTGAATTGCCTTGAATTTTTCTTATTTATATGTAAAAAAAATAAATCAGTATCTATACAATAATCTTCCACGAAGATTTCATGCAAAAGTGCCTTAAAAAAATTCTGTATCGGATACTTTAAATTTAGCAGTTACTTTTCCAATAAATCTGCATTCGATTTAAGTTAGTTCTTTTTCAACATTGTGCGTATGAAATACATAACGGGAGAGAAAGAGGTGCAGTTTTTGAAACGCGACTTATATGCATGTGTAAATTTGATAGGTGAGCCGTGTGAATTTGAGAAATATTAAAAGCAGTGCGAAGCCTTTTCTCTATACCCCGTTCTCCTCCCGATGAAAACTTGAACGAGAAAAGTATCGAATTACGCATATAAACGCATACTCGTACCCGATGAAGTCTGTATGACGGCATGTGATACACGCGCATACATGACAAGTTTCAAGTACCCGCGCACTGGTATATGCTTTCAAATAGATATACGCGACGAAAAATGTCCTAAAGAGCTTAAATTGGATTGTGTATACGTTTGTCGTAGCGCGTACAAAACAATGTCAACATTAGAGGCAATTATTTAGCTTCCCTCGCCCCACCTCCCCACGAGAGCCAACGAGTCAAAGAGTCCCCTTTGACATTCGATAGGTTTAGATTTAAAATTACTCAAATAACTACGATCTCCACCCCCGATGCCTCTGAGCTCTTACAATTATATTGTATTAAATTTCGAAATTAACTCTGGTGAAAGCTTATTTACACGCATTCGAAAAACTTCAAGGGGTTCGTATATATACAGGTGCGAATGATATTATATTCAAAATCGCATTTTCTCAGACCTAAATAAGAATGAGAATTTATCGTCGAGACTCTCGCAGCTGCTTCCACCGCAGAGTCGAATCATCAAGATTTGTGGTACTTTTGCGGACTGATGCTTTTATGTGTCTATTATATACGTACTCAAAACAAAAAAACAAGGTCGAGAGCGAATGGGAATCGCGCGCGCGCCTGGATAGGCCGCAGTTATATGTACACCTCGCGGTCGATTTATCAAAATTCTTTGGCGCTCGCACCATTTATTTCCACGAGAGCTGCTGACCCCTCTCGGAAGATTGGCGTATAGGACTTACGTGTGTGTGTATAAGAAAAGGAAACACTTTTGCTTCCTTTAGCACTGCTCATCGTCAAAAAATTGCCCATTGGGGCTTTTATACACACACTCGCACACACACGTACATTGTGAAAGAGTATTATATAATGTTTTTTGTGCTCTTTGGTTGTTTTTTTCGCAGGGCAACATCTGGCAGCAGCTCCTGTCGTTCCATTTCATACTGGAGCTAGTGAACACGATACCCTTCACCATCACAGTGAGTATATATAGACGAGCATATATTTATTATAGCTATATGTATGGGTCTGAGGGGGTCAAACAACGCGCGAGCTTGCAAGCACGTGATTACAAATCGAGAAATAGACATTGTGTATATACACGTGTGTATATGCGCTTTGTGTGTCAATGCGCTGATAAATAACTATGCTCGACTAGACTCTGAGCCCCGCGCGGCGGACTGATTGTCGTCGTCGTCGTCGTTGAGCTTTGAAGCTCTCTCGCGGGCGGCCGGCAGTATGACGGCTTGTGGTTTCGATACATACAGGCATATAATACGTATACAACGGCAGCAGCAGCTATACGGCATATATGGTCTGCGGTCGACCCGAAATCGTCGTCGTTTATACTCGCGAATAAACAGCAGCAGCAGAGACTTGCTATTACCATACGGCAAGCAAGAATTTAATTAGCCTCTCGCCCGAGTACGTTTGGCGGGAGCTTTTGTCGCGAGAATCATATTGCCCGCGCGCTATAAGCCATTGACTTTATACCTTTTGTTAAATTACGGTTTATTTATCGATGATACAATACGATCGCGGCGACGTCGTTTATATAAATTGCCGCGGGCCGAGCATTCGATCCATCGAATATTAATGCCGCGAATGTTAATCGACTAATAAAGTTATCGTTTTCACATATAAATGTAACGGCGCAGCAGCGGTGTCTACAGTAATTCGGTGATATCGATTCTTATTCGACACACGAGGCGAAGTCGTAAAAACACGGTCGCAATTAATTATTACCCGCGGCATACGGGCACAGCTTTTATAACTTCCTCGTGAGAAGGATCAGCTGCTGCTGCTGTTGATGCTGCGAGGTATGTACACGATGCGGGCTCGGTAATTGGGCCGAAACGCGGCGCGCGCGAGATCGATTACACACATGCGCATATAATACATCCAACGGCACATCAATCCAGCGCGTCGTTTGTACGTAATGTTTGTACGTGCGCGTGCCACCTCGCAGCTTCGCACATACATAATGATTATTTGTCAGTCAGTAGCATGTATATAGTACAGCTGCGCTTTGACACATGCACACACACGCACATGCCTGGATAGCTCTAACTCGGACAGGTGGACAGTCGGCTGGTAATAGTGCGAAAATCGCGCGCGAAATTTTCGTCGATCCGTTAGTCGCACGGCTGTTTCGGAGCTTGGTTATACACTAATACATACCAATTGCGTTTGTGTGTATTTGTGTGCCGTCATGTTTGCCGATTGTCAATAATCAGTGTGCGGCAGACGCGTTGCGCGCATTAGACACGCGTCGTTTAACGCACAAAAGCCGCCGCCGCGTTTATATATATACGCGTGTAACGATCGCCCAGTATAGTCCCGCGTTTACCCAAATGGTTTCCCTTAATGATCCATGCGTATGTACAGCGCACTGTCCTCTTCTTTGATAATTAAGTACGCGCACTCGGTTATGTACAGAGAGCAGATCAGAGGGTGAAAAGGAAAGGGACATTAACCGATGTGAATAATCCTCGATATGTATATAGAGCGCAGCCGAGGGAACCGAATTTCGCGCTCGCGTACGTACGTGCGCAATCGAAAAAGTACACGATATCGGAGTTCATTTTTCTTTCCTGCAACTTTTCGCCACGCTGAGCTTCCTTCTTCTCTGTTTCTGTTTCACTCGTTCTTTTTTTTTCTTTTTTTTTCGCAATCGAAGGAAGAATATTTTTTTCCGATTGCGCACTACTACTCCCTCTTGTACATAGCCTATAGCTACTATGGTAGCTCGCGTTGGCGCGTTGCGTTCTCTCAAGCGCGCAATAAACAGGAAAAACTCTTCGTGTGTGTATACGGACGAAGTAGCAGACGTAGAAACACCGTACTGTAAACGTGCCATTTTTCAGCTGCTGTATCCGCCCATGAGGAATCTCTTCATACCGGTTTTCCTCAACTGTTGGCTGGCGAAACACTCCCTCGAGAATATGTTCGTGAGTATACACCCAAGACTGTATAATATACGCTATAACGTATTGGAGCGCATCATTTTCCGTCAATTATATTACCGTACAAACCGATGTAATAAATATCGTGTGTGTTTCAGAACGATCTACATCGAGCCATGCAAAAGTCACAATCGGCCCTGAGTCAACAGCTGATGATACTCAGCGCGACGCTGCTCTGTCTCGTGTTCACGAGGTATACAATTATTATTATTATTATTATTATTATTATTATTATTATGCATTTAAACAAAATCGCAGTTTTATGCCATATAATATATAATTTCGCGCGCTGACTATGCATATACACATTAGGTTAACTCAATAAACTCTCGCGGCGGCATACAGCACACTGGTTATACAACACAGTGCACAAGAGCAACTGGCGTCAAAGTTGGGCGTGCATATAATATAATAGCTCACTCTCGCGCACACACACAAACAGCGGGCCTGGCCACGCGCTCGCAGCAACTCTCTGCGCGGGTTAATACGCAAGCGTATATATACACGGAGCTATGTTTTCGGTCCAGTCTATAATATAACGTAATATTACGAATTATCGCTCGTGCATGCACGTGACTGAGCGACGACGAGTTTGCGAGCGAGCGATAAGTTTGTAACGCGGCGGGACTTCCTGGATTGTAAATGCTATTTACATGTAGTTCCGTTCTGTGCTGCGTATGTATATATAGGCGATTGTAACCGATAGTCATGTCGTCGCCGCATTGTTCGAATTTAGCTCGTTAAAAGCCGCTTCGCGCGCCGCGACGCGAAAGATGGAATACATTATAATCGTATTTCGGCAGCTTTCGACTTACCCACCGTGCGTGCATTATCGTGCGGTTTCTACAATTGCGTCGGAATTGCAGGAAATTGACGAGGAAATTTATCGAAAAGATGACGATGTAAAGCGCGAGGCGGCACGTGAAAGCTCGTCTCTTACTCTACATGCGTTTTTACGTATAGCTAAAAAATAATTTAGGCAAATGCAGCGGGAGAAACGTGGAAGTATTTGCACGTGTGTTTATACACGGGAAATAAGTAAAACGAAAGTAAAAAGAAAAATACACGCACGCACAGATAAGAGCCACTCTCCGAAGAAAAGTGCGCGCTATCTTTTTTTTTCTCCTGCAATAGTACCTACGTGTACCTACGTACACGTGTACTCGAGGGAGCAGGAAGAGGAGGAGGAAAAAAAATCAGCCGCGCTATTATTTTTCGTACAAAGAGAGACATCACTCAGAGCGGTAGTGGTAGTAGGGCAGTGTCTGCTACTGTTTTTCTCTCTTTATATATAGATCGTAATAAATCGAATGTAGCCATGCGAGCTGCTCTAGCTATATAGCCGACGATGAACCCTATAGCCCATCAATACTCAATGGAACGTCATACCCATAGCCTATCTCTATATATCTATATATATAATATGATCCGACGATATTGACGAATGACGTCGTCTTTACTGGCCTTTTGTGTATGTGCCCGCGCGAACGTCGGCGATCGGCCCTGTCGTGCAGCACTCCACGCTGCTCTGCGAGTGAATTTCACCGGGGGTTTATTATAAGTACTCGCGCGCGCGCCATGCGAGTCGTTATCGATATTTTTTCTTCTCGACGAGCAGCAGCGGCGGCCAACAGCGAGGATCGAATTTTCCAGTTCCTTTTTTGTTATCCACGTTGCGCGCATCGCGTATAAAAATAGTCGATTCATCATCGCGCCAGCCAGCCAGCGAGTCAGCCAAAACTGGAAGAGTTCGTTTCATTAGCATATACCTACCTACCTACCTACCTGCCTCTTATGAAGTCAAATATTTTTGTTAAAATAAAAGTCGACGTTGCTGCCTGCCGAGAGTTGTTATACGGTAAAAGAAAACTTCGGGGTTGGGAGAAGAGAGAATTTACCTTTTAAAAGAGTCGAATCAGCGACGAGAGAGAAGCAAAGACTCTCTCTCTCTCTCTTATCCAACTTGACTTTTCCCCCGGATTTTTCCTTTTTTTTTCCTTTCTCTTTTACCTCCCTTTCCTACTCATCCTTACTTAATATAACAAATCATATGCAAGATACTACTCCACTACCACTACTCTCTCTTACTCTCTCTGCAGCAAAAACAGGAAGCCTAAAATTTCTCCGCGCTTCTCACTCGATTGAGCGAGTTGCCTGGCGCTTACCCTATATAGCTGTGTGCGCGCCGCGGCTCACTGCTCTGCTGAATGATGGGAGGAAGCAGCGCGCACTGCCTCTATGCTTCCGCTCCCGACAAGCTCAAAGGCATCTTTCGATGTGTATACACCTAGCTAGAGCTTGCAGACGGGCGGGTACTGTGCAAGCTCTGCTTTCTCTCTCTCACTACTCGCATATTTCAGCACTCTCGAAGCGGCTATATTGCGCGCTGCATCTACATGCCAATGTAAATGCCAGGCGTTTCGCGCGCGATAAGTTTACTTGCACCGCTCGTCGTCGTAGCCGTCGTCGTTGTTGTTGTTGTATACGCGTGCGTTTAATATGCAGATCTGGGGTGTGAAATTCAAACAATTGTTCGCGCAGCGAGAAGAGAGGAAGTGAGAGAGAGAGAGATTTCAGCCGAAGCAGTCAATATTGATCGATCAATTTTACATTCGTCAAATATTTATTAGTCTCCGAGTGTGCGTCGCTTGTTTATATAAAAGAGATGTTATCACCGATCGTCACGCTCAAAAGTCCATTTGGGCCGCGTATGTGCGTCATCTCGGAGCTGCAAAACGGATTCATCATCCCGATTGCCGCTGGGTTGGCAAGCTGCCAAACTCGCTCGCTCGCTCGCTGAGAAAAGCTCGTTTGACTTTGCCGCGCCGCGTATACCGTATTACTATATCTACCACCCCCGCGTCCGCGAGAGCAAGTGTAATTAGAAATTTTCATCTTAATATGGTACTACCAGAGAGCTTCCGGTTTAAAAAAACGAAGGATAAGCGCCGCGGCAAACGCATTCGTCGATATGCTCGTTTCTCTCTGATTTAGTAAGAAAAAAAAAGGAAGAAGATCCAAAGTCAAATATTCACATGGTCATACCGCACATTGTTAGAAGAGTTTGTACGAGTATAGCTATCTGCCGTTGCTGCTGATGCCGCTGCTTCTCTGCTCTGCTACGTCGAAGTTAGTTACTCTAAGAAAGGAAAATTCTCTCTCGCTCGAGTCAAGCGAAGTTGCCTTACTCTCTCTCTCCCCCTGGCGCGTGTGTATATACAGGTAGTAAAGAGGGGGGTTCTAACTAGATTTGTCGGCCTGCCTCGGCGCAAAGAGCTTATATACATTATATATAGCGTTGCCCACCACTACTACCACTACCACCGAATGGACACCCGATCGCGCGCGCGCGTATACGAAATAAAGCATGCCCTTTTGCAGCCAACTTACTTACCCTCCTCTCCTTTCCTCTCTCTATGTCCGTCTCTCTGTCTCTCTCTTTCTCTGCAGCAGCAGCCCAACGCGCGTACAAACTTTCTTCGTATTTAAGTTGATAAATAAATTACAGGGGCCGCTGCCGCGTTATTGCTTCAATTTATTAATCGCCAAGTTTGACGCCAATCCTTGCTATGTATATATACTCTATATATACTGCGAAGATTGACTAAGTGGCAAGTTCGGGTCAGTTCGTAGCATAGTTTGCGCGCGCGGCATATGCGGTCCAAGTTATGTCCATGTGTGTACGTGTGTGTGTTTACGAATTTTCCCCGAATTGGCCTTGGAGCGAGGCTGTAAATAAATTACAACAACAACGACTACGAAACGTGTATGGGGCTATATTTATACGCGCCGTGCCTGGTACACAGGCAATCGGCGTAGTATGTGCTGCACTTTCGCGTATGTGTATGTACACAAATCGGGTTCAAAACGATTTCAGGGCTGCACGAGTGTGTAAAGCTCTCATTGACTCCGCTCGTATATATGTGCAACCTGAATACTTATTTCTTGTTTTTTTTTTCCTTCTAAATACGTATATATACGCCGTGTGCCGTGTTGGCGCGCGCGTCCGACTTTCTAATGCGCGCACAGTGCGATCTTAATATGCCTACGTACGTTTACATTATAGTAGCATTTCTCGATTCAGTAGTACGAGTCAGGCTTTAATCGCACACACACACGTCGTGAGCTACTTTTTCTTTCCCCCACCCGCCTCCCGGTTTTACGTTGTGATTCGTCGCCTCCCGCGAATACACGTATGTGCGCGCTTATAAGCGAGCGCAACTGCGAGCGCGAGCTAAGCATCGATCCGCGGGGCCGATTTATTATTTAACGATGAAGTCGATACACACACATACACACATACAGCATGCCGTACTATTTTTAAGCCAATTAATTTGTCCTTGGCATCGAAACGGAAGAAAACTGTTACGATCAACGGAAATAGTTGCTGCCGCGGTGCGCTCGTTTTTACAATTATAAATATCACCCGACGACTAGCATTCTGGCTTATTATTGTCAAAAGCGTGAAGAAGAAATTGTATACATGCGTGTGTAGGCACGAACGCGACGAAGAACAAAAGCTCGAGCGCGAAACTTCACCATGCGCGATTCGTAAAGTTAATTAGTTAGAGAAAGAGAGAGAGAGAGAGAGTACGCGTTGGCTTTTCAAAACTATTATCATCGAAAAACATCTCTCGCACCGCGCGTTTCGCGGTTTATTACTATCTAGGCGATATTTAAGGAGTTATTATTATAACAAGTACAAAAAGTGCGAGGAAAACTTGGCAAATTAATTAAACGAGAGATCGGACGGGAAGTTTGATCGGTGCTAGGATATAAATTCATGTACACGCGGCGCATTTTTCCGCTTTGTCGCGCGGGCGAAACGATGCTGAATCGATTTAAAAGAAGGAAAAAAAAATTGTTTTATCAGCCTTTCGAAATCGCATTAATTGCTGCAGATACATACACGTGTATATGTATATAAATCGCTGCGATCGCGCGCACTGGCTATATATTTTAGTCCCGCGTATTAATAGCCTTCGAGAAATAATTTATGATCGCTTTTTACGCGCGTTGACAGCGGATTTTTTTTCTGCTTTCGCTGTACGGGACGTAGTGAATACATTAAAATAATCTATATCAATATTTATGAAACGATCGCGCCGCGCGGTGCATGTACGCCACGGGCTCTCCGTATAGGTGACCTCTTATAATTTTTTTTTCACTTCAAACGCGACACGTTTGAGCACGCATTCGTATGGGGGATGGTCATTTACCGGCCAATACATTCGTTCGCGTATTATTTTTTGTTCGGTTCATCAGCCTGGCCACGGAGCGAAAAATACTATATATTCACCTGAAAAAAGTCAAACAATCAAAGGCTGTATTTGTCCACTGCAGCAAAGCGATCTCTGCTGCACTATATACTGAAAAACAGACGACACAAAGCACTGTCAACTTATACTCTCTCTCTCTCTCTCTTTTCTGCGCTAAAGGGCTTTCTTCGCGATCATTACGGTGCTAGCGCGGTATATATTACAGTAGTTACGTATATGGTATATAAAACGGAGTAAACCGACAAAAAACACGACGAATATAAAGAGCTAGCTGGGATGCGGTGTATTATACAGTTTCAGACTCCGGTCCGAAATGGGGAAAATGTCACGTACTTGTGTTTTCGCGCGTATATTATATACTGCACCGACGCCCGGGAGGAATTTCGGGGCGGGCCACTGCTACGCGTTATACACACGGAATAATATTCTTATTATAATAATATACACCTGGTTTTAGCGTACAATAGGCGCAAAACATGCGGAAAATATAGTCGCGAACAACGAGACGATAACGGCGCGTTAGGTAGGCGCGCGCGTATTAAAGAGCAAATGAATATAGGCTTGAGCCCCATTATATAAAACTCGCTACTTATGCTACGCGTTATAAGAGTACGCTCGGGGTAATTTTTTTCGCGTAACAGCTCCCCACCCCGCTCGCTCGCGCGCGTTTACGTTCTCGAGAAATTTAAAAAATTTTTTACCCGCGTTATAGTAACGTAAATGGCACGCAACTGCTAACATTCTCCCTCGCTCCAGCTCGCGTCGTAATAAATACTACAGGAAGCTAGGCTGCTGCATACCTTTGCACTCGATGCGATGGGCGAATTTCGAATTTTTATAACAACAAACAAAAATATACACGAGAACGAATTTTTGTCGCAGCGTCTGCGGGATCCAGCACTTTCAGCGGGCCGGCCATCGCCACCTGAATCTCTTCCAGAGCACCTACTACGTGGTGGTGACCTTCTCCACGGTGGGCTACGGCGACTTCGTACCGGACATCTGGCCGTCGCAGCTCTACATGGTCATAATGATATGCGTCGCGCTTATAGTTTTGCCCACGCAGGTGAGTACACACACACATCCAAGTTGCTGCTATGTATATAGCCTATATTATAGACTGCAACCCGACGCTTCTTCTTCTTCTTCTTCTCGCGCCGCTAAATATTTATAATGTCCTCCTCCATTAAATAGACATCTTATATACGAAGTAAACTTTCAACCTTTCGCGACGCGCGTATAAAATATCCCCTGGATGTAAGCCAAATGACGGGCCTTTTATTCGCCTCCCACCCCCCATATACTAACGCAGCGTGACTCGGGGCAGATAGAAAAGAGAAAGACGTGTAGGGAACTTTACTGCTCATCATTCTCCTCTATTTTACTATAGTAGACTCTCTCTCTCTCTCTCGAGCTCATAAAAATCGAAGGCGCGTATATAACTCGATCCTTCTCTGCAGCACACACATACACAAACGTATATAAGCATATGTGTGTGTGAGTGTGTGTGTGTGTGGGTGGTTGGAGAAGCGAGTTATACTACTTGAGAGCAGCCACTACTACTACGTATATAGCATAGAACGTATATAATACGTGAAAGCCTCGTGTCAATTTCAATTATCAACTTCTTGTACGCCGCGCGCCGCGTTATCGCTAATAGCCGCCCGCGCCAGTCCGCGCGAGAGGATCCTTTTATATATTATTATTATTATTATTATTATTATTATATACGCGTTCGTTTCAGCACGTGACACTTAAATTAGTTCTAGAATTTAATATTTATTACTTATCCCGCCCGTGCTCGATCGGGCGAGGGAGCGAAAAATCCAATAAACGAAAAAAAAGCTACATATAGTCAGAGTAGCAACGCATATTATAGAGTCAAAGTATATAGGCACAGAGCACATGCTCACGAGTATAAATTCAATTCCTCTCTCTCTCGATATAATTAAGCGGATTTCGCTTTGGACTGGCATAAGCTGATGCTGCTGCTGCTGTTGCTGCTGTTGTATGTGCGGGGGACGAGCACACTTGTTGCAGGCAGCAGCAGCGTATATACGGATGTATAATGCGAGGCGAACGGACAGTCTGTCAGGGCTCTTGTACGTACAGGCTGCGTTTCGAACCGATCTTCCAGCTGTCAACATACGCCGAGTCGTGAATTCCACACGTCCCTCCTCTTTTTTGATTTCGCAACGTCGATTTAAATCATCCCCTTTTTTTTAATGACTCGCGCGCAACGGTGATTTTTTTTTTATTATTCATTCTCACCCCGCATCGATATCGCGCGCGTATTTCGCCGTCTAATAATCTCGAATGAACTAGCATATGGCAGACTGGTGCGGGGGATGGGTGAAATATATACACGTGCACATAATATTATTCAAATGATATGCATTCGCGTCTGCTGCCATACAGTTCGAGCAACTGGCGTTCACGTGGATGGAGAGGCAGAAGCTCGGCGGCTCGTACTCGTCGCATCGGGCGCAGAGCGAGAAGCACGTCGTGGTCTGTAGCACGACCCTCCAGGCCGACACCATTATGGATTTCCTTAACGAATTCTACGCGCATCCGCTGCTTCAGGTAAGACGTCGCGATCGTGACATAAAATGTACAAGTAAGAGAGATTTCTATCTCCAGACTCGCGAATATAAAAAAAAATAAATATAATTCCGTGCGACTTTTGACACACAGGATTACTACGTGGTGCTGCTCTCGCCCATGGAGCTGGACACGACGATGCGCATGATACTGCAGGTGCCGATCTGGGCGCAGCGCGTCATCTACATCCAGGGCTCGTGTCTGAAGGACGGCGACCTGGCCCGGGCGCGCATGAACGAGGCCGAGGCCTGCTTCGTCCTGGCGGCCCGCAACTACGCCGACAAGACTGCCGCGGACGAGCACACCATACTCAGGTACAGTAGTAATTGAAAAAATCTACACAGCTGCAGGAGCTCTTCGTCGTAATTATTAAAATACACACACGCGTGTGCGATAAAATGCAGATCCTGGGCGGTGAAAGATTTCGCGCCGAACGTGCCGCAGTACGTGCAAATATTCCGGCCGGAGAACAAGCTGCACGTGAAGTTCGCCGAGCACGTCGTGTGCGAGGACGAGTTCAAATACGCCCTGCTGGCCAACAACTGCACGTGCCCGGGCGCCTCGACCCTCGTCACGCTACTGCTGCACACGTCGAGAGGACAGTAAGAGCAGCAAAAAAGAGAAAAATTATACATCAATTTGCTCTTTCTTTCTTTCGCCGCTGCTGCAAACACCCCCTTTTATTATTGACGCAGGGAAGGCCAACAGTCGCAGGAGGAGTGGCACAGGCTGTACGGCAAGTGCTCGGGCAACGAGATCTACCACATCATTCTCGGGGACTCGCGCTTCTTCGGCGAGTACGAGGGCAAGTCCTTCACCTACGCGTCGTTTCACAGCCACAGGAAGTACGGCGTGGCCCTGGTCGCCGTCAGGCCCGCCGAGCTCCCGGAATTCTACGAGGACACGATTTTACTCAATCCAGGTATAATAATAATAATAATCGCCGTCGCATGGAATCCCTATACTGACTCGTGCAAAAAAGGTCCCAGACACATCATGAAGAAGACGGACACGTGCTACTACATGAGCATAACCAAGGAGGAGAACTCGGCCTTCGTGGTGGCCAACATCGGCGGCACCGGCGATCCCCAGCAGGTCGTCGTCGAGACCAAACTCGACGCCTCCTCGACGACGACGCCCGGACAAGCTGCCGGCGGCGGTGGACAGACGGCGGGGATGAGCAGCTGCACGACGCCGGGCACGACGACCACGGTGACCACGACCACCTCCTGCGTGGGTCTGCAGCAGCCCGCCAACGGTACAACAACAACCGCAACGAGTTATAGCTGCTTAACGGCTCGGGGTCCCCGCGGGGTCGATGAAATGCTGAGCGTGATCACGAGCCCCGACGACATGTTGTATTGTACCGTGACCGACGACGATCACGATCACGATCGGCAGTTGGTCGTCGAGCCTCGGACGACGAGCGAGTCCTGCCGGCAGGATTCGTCGTATTACTGCCTGTATAATAGCGATTTGCGGCAGGCGGCCACGGACGGCTCGCTACCCCTACCTCAGGTTATACTGCAGGTCCCCCCTAGCACAGCCACCACCACCACCACCACCGCGCCCACACCACTCCAACGACACAACCTACTGCTCGCTAACGATGTACACCGTGAGTGTTGTTCTGCCCGAAAATTGTGTCTTGTCTATAATCTACCTTTACTTATCCCCTTCTTGAGACGCATGACCACATTTTATCTTTCTCCTTTTTTATTGCTCAATTAGTTTTTATGCAAACATAGTTCTTATAGACTAATTAATTTTGGTAATTATGCAATATCACCTTTTAAATGCCTCTCAATCTCCCCTACGTTCACGATAATAAATGTTTCGCTCCACGCGATATTTACTTTATTTTTTGCACTCTCATGATTTCTCCGTTGGAGCGGAACAAACATGACGTTCGTAGCTTATTATTATATTCGTAGTCATCGATCTCTCATTTTTGAAACTCTCCCTTCACTCACCCTTACACACACACGCAGCTTATTTCCTGTTCTTTCTTTTTTGAAACTTTGAATTTCCTCTCTCTCTCTCTCTCTCTCTCTCTCTCTCTCTCTTGTGTGTAATATATACCGTTACACGGTAAACGATCAGTCGTACGTGGAACACGGAATATCCTCCTCCTGCTTCTCTCTCTCTCTCTCTCTCTCTCTCTCTCTCTCGAGTGCTATATCAATCAACGTGATAACTTTGATGCATCGTGTATACACATAATACCCACGGCTACACGTCCTTGACAATAATACCCCCCTCCCCTCTTCCGTCCAAGCGATGGGCATGTGTCAATTCCACGTATACACACACATGTATATAGTACCAGTGCATGTCCATACCTAATGTATAATACCGCATATATTCCTTGCCGAAATCAATAAATCATCCGTCAAGCAGTAGCAGCATTCGGTATAATGCCTTTACAACAGAGACATCGCAGCGGTATACGAGCGCGCCCAATTTGCTTGGACGAAACATAGCAAATCCATTTCTGGTCCTCCTGCTATATATATATCCATCGGATTGCGTTCCTCCACCCGTGTGATCTCGCTCGCGAGTTTCACGCTTTCGTGGGTTTCGCGCTTTACGTACACACGATCATCGCGTTGCCAATACACTCATGCCTTCGCCCAAAATCGACGCTCGCCTACATACAGTAGCAGCTCCCTCGAGACTCCGGACGTCGAAAATCTATCCGCTGCTCGGAGAAAGTGCTTCGACGACGACAGCAGATTTTAGTGTGAATTTGCGTCAGCGTATATACCTACACACGCGCGCGACGCTGCATAATATAAACGTTGGCGATGCACTCGCTTTGATGAAGTCGCGCCTGTGTAGTGCGGCGCGCGCCATTCGTTACGCACTAAGCACGTAAGCCCATTTGTCGCACGATAGCTCGCGCGGCACATAGTAGAGAGTAGCACCTGTATACCACTACCACTCTCGCTCTCTCATTGCTACTTTGTACTCGCTAACGCATACGTTCGCTTGGATATTATTGTTAGATAATATATGCAACAGAAGGTATTCATTTGGTACAAGGCGCATCATCGCCATCGTCGTCGTGGTGTTTCAGGTTGCTTGGTCGGGCCGAGATGGTCGTTAAACCGCGAGCGCGCGAATATACGAAAAATCGATGTTCCAGTATGTGTGTAATACGTGCATCGTCTACACATACTACTTTTTTTTCTTTTTTTATTCCAGAGACTTCAGATCATATGATTAACGTAGATGGATATTATACACGCGCGCGCGACCGCGGGTCGAATATAATTAGTTGATTGAAGTAGTCTCTTGCCTTGCTACGTGTCTGTGTGTGTGTGTGTGTGTGTGTGTGTGTGTGTGTACATTGCTGCTGCTTTTATTCGCATTTGCGCCGTGTAATACGCGGTGCGATGACGCCGATGATGATGCGCGACTCACGAGTGCGCCCGGCAATAAGCTCTCCTGAATTCAATTATTCCATTATGCGATTTAGATTATTTTTTTATTTATATATTATAATAATTCAATTCCGTTAGCAGTATTTAGAAATTCTAGGTGATTACGATGATAATAATTATTAATTAGCGCATTAAAGTAATGAGTTGACCAATCATCCGTCAGACCTGTACTTAACTATACTTTTTCTATATACAATTTTCTATTACAATTCGACCTAGCCTCATTCGTATATTATGATATATTTATTGCTCATTGAACTTTTTCTATATATATATACTTGAATTTATTGTTGCCTTTAAGAATGTTGTAGCGCATTTTTTGTAAATAATTTCTCCATAGCAAAGAGTTAATATTTTTCTTCAAAGATTTTACGCTTAGCGTAGAGCGTTTACGCATTTTTATATTAGAAAAAAATCTCTCTATTTAAACTCGACTCGAGATATTTATTTATATTATATATATCTACGATAGCAGAGTATCACTTTTCAAAGTAGAGTTTAAAATCTAAATAGATATACGTATTATATCCGTCGCATAAATACTTATATACAATATCATTGATGTTTACACTTTAGCAACTTATCTCGATCCCGGGGGATTAGGAGGCGGCGGCGACTCGAGTCGGCAGCAGGGCTTGAAAGACGGAAGTTTGTCACCGCAAACGTCAATGACCGGAAATCACCTCGACGTGCCACGCTCGCTCGAGCCAAATCCTAATCTGCTTAGTCCTGAAATTCTCACTCAAAGAAGAGGTAATCCACTTTATCTCATAATTGTACGCCAGTGAATATTTGAAACACAGTAGGAGGAAAGGAAGGGCGGACTTTTAGAGTAGGCTTTTAAGGAGCAACACGACGAACACACAGTGAAATAAAAAAGACGAGAGAAAGGAGGAAGTCGCTCTCTCGGTGCACTCGAATGGCCTTCTCCAGCTCCCTCGATCGATCTAGTTATATCCTCTATAAATACTTATTAGCTGAAACGGTGTGTTTCGCGAGGCGTTCGAGTGCATCGTGTACAGGGGGGAGGCCTGCTCCTTCTCTTGGCTCAATCGCAGAAAGCTCCACGACCGATACGACAAATCCTGAATAGGATCCTTCGAATTGAATTTGCCCTCAGGGAGCCGAAGACCGAGCATACTGCCGGTGCCAGACATGCTAACGAGCTCGACTTTGCACCTGCCCGGCCAAGAGTCGCTCGAGGATCACGAGGGCAACGAGTCCGAGGACGAGATGGACGACGATGTGCCTTGGCGATCGCCCAGCGAAAAAATAGCGTGAGTCTTCCTTTCTCTTTTTCTTACCTTTTCTCACTTCTTCTTTTTTTTTTGCTCTCGAGCGAGGCGATATCGGCCCGATTCGGAAGTCTTTGCGTCACGAGCCGTGTGCACATACACGTAACAACTGTTGCTTGGATATATAAATCCTATTTCGCTGTACATATATACCGATCCAAAAAATTGTAATACGGCAGGAGTTATTCGAGTACGCACTCTCTCTCGCGCGTGCATATTATCGAGCAGCATTTGCATATTATAGCCATGCAACTAGAGATCAGAGGATGGAAGGATTTACGCGCACTACTCGAAGCATCATCATCATCATCGCGTATTGCGCGCATTATTATTCAATTGCACGACGCGCGATAATAACCGGGGGTTACGCTGCTATACGCGGCCGCGCCGATCGCAAATTTCACGTGTGCTGCTGCTGCTGTATACGCGCTAAAGGGTCATAACCGCATGACCGAATACTACTCCTCAATAATTGTGATTTGTATTTACGCCCGAGTGGCTCCCATGCTGCGCCACTACCTAGTAGCAGTAGTAGTAGTAGTACTCATGCTGCTGCGTTGTGTATGTGTATGTGCCGTGCCACGAAGCTTGAGTGAAAACTCCTGTCGAGCTGTTCATTGACTCTCGCTCGGACGTTTTTATAAATAACGAAATTTCATTAGTATGTCGAGCACTATATATTATATTATTATAAATTTATTATATAATACCTACGTCGCACCACTGATCATTATATCTTATTTTATGTATTATTATATACATTTCATATATGAATCAATGTATATAAATATTTGCATCACTATTTATTGTTGTTGTGTCGATTGCGTATAAATATATTATAATCCAATATACACTCCGAGTAGCAGAGATTTAGACTTTTTTTGGTCTCTTATCTAGAAATACTTTTTGTCATTACTTTTATTACGATCTCTGCTTTTTTTCGTATACTACTTCTCTTATTGATATTATACAACGATTTTTACAATCTTTTGTGTACATCCTTTTTGTCAGTAGTTTATAGTATAAATTGTGTAACGTGATCAATATGAGCATCGCATCGGAGCTACGCAGAATTTATGCGATGTCATAGTGTCACGGCAGTAGCCACACAGAGCAGCCAATACGATAGTCGTAGCGGTTGTTTTTTTTTCATTCTCTCTCTCTCTCTCTCTCTCTCTCTCTGTCCCTTTTTTTGCGTACATAAAAATTTTTATTTACTACACGATAAATAGTATGAATTTTTTATACATTTTTTTCTCTCGAAATTATTGTACGAGAAATTTTATACAACTTTGAGAACGCGCTGAAACGCGTCACTTTCGTCGACTTAAACGCACGGTCGCTGTACACACCAAAATCATAAAAAAACGAAATGATTCTATTGATTATTCAGAAGGTTTAAACCTTACGTAACGTTTTAATGGAAAATGAAAATTTTTCAATCAAAAAACACTTTTGATGCCTGTACACTTTACCTGCTCGTTTGAGTCCATTAAAAAAAAACCAAATATATTCGTGAATGTTTTTTGATGTCTTCCTTAAAATCTGCATCGTCTTTGTGCACCCCTACGTCCTCTTGCCGCACGTCGCTCTCGCCTGTCGACTGTAATCGCACCCCTCTGCAGCTTCAAAGGGTGAGTCACATGCATTTTTCACTTTTTTCTATCTCTCTCTTTCTATTTGTTTTGGCTTTGAAAAAAAGTACAAAAACTGAATTAGAAATTCGTTGCATACACATTTTGCGTTATACGCTTTTTTAAAACTGCTTTTATATACGCGTGTGTGTGTGTGCGACACCATAGCACGTCGTTGGAAATATTGATATTTTAACGTGCATCCGATTGTTTATTACAGTGAATCTTTTATAGTTTGCTAAATAGCTTGCACCTTTTGGTCTGTATAAAAATTTAATCTTTACGACTCAAAACAGGCCCCCAACTTGATGACCTCCTTGTTTATTTCCGTCTCCGTTACAAATTGGAAAACTATTTTCTAATTTTTCTTTGTGTTTGCATTGACACGTGCAATTTTTTATTCAAAAAATTTGACATTAGATTAAAGTAACCAATACTAAATTATATTCAAGGTATTTTCACATAAAATTTTCTTTTTAATTTTTTTTACATTAATCGCACAAAAAAGTACATGCAGTCACGTACATTATTTTGCATGCAAAAATGATCAAAAAGATTTAATTCTTTACTCAAATTTAAACATTTTAATTGAAAACGCTCGAAAAAATCATCAAAGTTCGATCATAATTAAAGCCAACATCCGCCACTAGATGGCGAGAGCCTTAATATCTGTAAATCTGCAAGTGGTAAAGTAAAAATAAAATTGTATATGGTTGATTCTCCCGAAATCTGCTTTTTCGGGTATGGAAAACGAAAAAATGGGGAAAATTTTTTTGTCATATTGAACGGCGCGAACTAGTTTACCCTTTTTTAAACCATAAAATATGAATAATTATTGAATCTGGGGCTTTGAGATTTCGTTTTACGAAAACTATGTCCGATTTTATGCCTAAAATCGACTATTTTGGGTTACGGAGGTGACACACACGGAGGTGACAAATCGCTGCTTTGATCAACTATGTAAGAAAAATAAGAAACGCACAAAATTTTCCGCACAACCCGAAATTTGGTCATGAAAAACGAGTCTTTTGACGGGGCGAGCGGTTAAAAAGAATGATCATAGCTCGAGATATTCATGTATACGGAGGTGACCGTTTTTTTGATACACGTGAATTTTTCAATAGAATAATTATCGCAGCATCGATAAAATGTAAAATTTGAACCCGCAACCTACACCAATCGAAAGCTGGGCTATAATACTTGACATTTACGTATCTAGCGACATGAAAAATGAGTTAGCGACCCAAAGCAGGCGGTATGTTTGAAATTATTCAGAAGCATGATTAAAATCCGAGACATTTTTCAATTGCGTGGGAAATTTTTTTAAAACATTTTTCAAAGCCCTATAATAGACTTAAACTTTACTCTGGATGTATAGAAGCTGGTCTCATAGTTATTATAGGGTCAGGTGCTAATGAGAATGCATGATACATGCAAATGAGTTGATTTTGAGATGTAGACATGCCACGGAGGTGACATTTGGCATGTATATCTTCACGGCAAATTTAACTGACCCTAAAAAATTGAAATATTTATGTCCTATCATGAAGAATACAACAATATTGAATGAATGACCGAACCACTTTTGGCTCATCTTCACTAGTTTAAGAATATGGCATAAAGACATGCAAAAAGCAGATTTCAGGAGAATCAACCATATAAGTAAAATCAAAGATTACCTCAATAATGAATGGGTGCACATATTCAATAATAATACTTTGAAAAAGCTACGCGGACGTCTAGAAATCATCGGTATCCCTTTACACATTACAAATGTAGAAAATTAAAAGTAACTGCATGAAAATTAGTTTACGAATGACTAAAGTACTTTCCGGCCTATCCGAAGCATTCGGTATCGATCAAAAAGATTACGGACTCGCAAGCCAATACTTCCTCTCAGGTGCAGATGCCAAAAGTTCGCGCACTTCGTAACGAAGGAACACTGCAGCAGCCACGCTATAGTCTTAATAATTCATCATGATGTTGCCGAGCTCGTTCTGTATCTGCAGCAGACTCTTGCCCTTGGTCTCGGGCAGCAGCGTGACGGCGAACGGCAGCCCGATGGAGCCGAGCAGGCTGAAACTGGCGAAGGCCAGACACGAGCTGGCGCGCTGGTTCAGGGCCTCGTACGAGCGCTGCATGCAGAACGCGACGAGATAGACGAGCGACGTGCATATGCCGACTGCGGCGCTCTTGGCCTGGCTGGGGAAGATCTCGCCGGTGACTATGGGCAGGACCGGGGTCAAGCCCAGCGAGTAGATCGCGTAGTAGAGGCACATGACGGATATCGGCAGGATTTTGCTTTCCTTCGGCAGCTGTGTGCGAGCGACGAATATAAACGTGAAAAAGAATCGAGAAAAAAATCCAGTGCGATAATTACTGTGAGCTTACGGCATTGGTCAGGCATCTCTCCTCGCTGGCCAGATAGTAGACGGAGAGCACGAGGCAGCACAGGCCCGAGCCCACGATGCTGAAGGTGAGCAGCGGTTTGCGCCCGAAGCGCTGTATGGCCAGCAGGCACAGGACGATCGACAGCACGTCCACCAAGGAGGCGACGACTTTGCCCGCCTGGGGCTGCTCGAGGACCTGCTCGAGGAGCAGCAGGGCGTAACTGGACACGGCGACGACGCCGAGCATCTGACTTACGCAGAGCAGCGGGACGACGAGCAGCGCCAGCGGACTGCGCAGCTCCTCGCGCAGCGGGCAGAGCGACTCGAGCAGCAGACGGCCCGCGGGCTTCGCCAGGCTCGAGTTGAAGAACACGACCATGGACTGGTACTCGGGCTCGATCTCCAGGACGCTTCGGCGATTGCGCAGATTCTTAAGGGCGATCTTCGCCTCGAGCACCATGCCGGTCTGGAAGAGATAGAAGGGCGACTCGAGCATGAGGAAGCAGACGCTGGCGCAGAAGAGTAGCGGAGCGGCGACCATCAGGTCGAGGACGATGGCCACGTCGACGAGGTAGCCCAGCAGATTCATCAGGAAGACGCCGAGATAGCCGGACAGCATTATGGCACCGCCGACGAGGCCGCGATTCTCCGTGGAGGCGATCTCCGCGACGTAGAGCACCGCCGCCACGGCGTAGACGCCCACGCCCAGGCCCGCGACGAAGGCCGACGAGGCGATCCACTGACGACGTTAAAACATTGAGATACAAACGAGAAGAGGATGCGCAAGACTCACACGATTCTGTTGATATGGCCCGAGACGCAGAGGCCGATCCAGAAGGCGATCTGCAGGCAGCCGGACAGCATAAAGGCCGGCCTGCGCCCGTAGGCGTCCGTGACGAAGATCGAGGCTATGCTACCAAGCGAGGCGCCGGCGTTGATCGCCGACTCGACCCACGTCTCGTCGATGTAATCCAGCTGCGTGTGCTCGTCGCCGTAGAGATAAGCGAAGGCGGGCCCGGGCCAGCCGATCGCCAGACCGACGCACAGTGCCCCGAGATTCACTGCAACAATAATTGATAATGATTTGCAAGGGAAAAGCTCGAGCTCGTTTATACACTCACGCGATGCAACGGAGCCGAAAAAGTGCCGATTGAACGAGCTCGAGTCCATCGACGATTCGCTTCACGCATTATTATCGCATGCGCTTTCCTGCATGTCTGCATGCGCCTGCGTCGTCTGCTCGTTTGACTTTATTATCGTTGTGCACGTAACGTAAACCGATAAAAAAATGCGTGCACTGCTGTTGCCTGCGAGTTAATTATAAGTAAGTCATTTTCCTTCAGGGTGAGCTGTCGACGAAAATTGGAATAGCCGCCGCTGTACCGCCGCTAGTTGAAATAAAATCCATAAAATTTGTCGTTTCTTTTTTTATTTTTTTTCTTTTTTTTCGTTCTGTTGCCGTCATCGGCGTATACTTAACTACTATCGCGACGTACACACGTGCCACCGCCACGCAACTGTGAAATGTAAAACTCTGTCTGTGCTTGCCGATGTTGCAGGATCGTCAAGGGATTCCCGCCTGTTTCGCCGTTCATCGGTGTTTCGCCGACTCTTTGTTATCTGCTCAAAGAGAAAAAACCTCTTTGCTGTCTTCAGCTCGCGCAGGTATTATATTATATACATATATGTTTGCCGATACGTCATCGTATAGACGAGAGACGTTTCTTCCTTTTCTTTTCTTTTTTTTTTCGTTCTTCCTTTTTTTTTTACTCCCGCATGTGCATCCACTAGCTACTACCGTTAGTACTAGCCTAGTAACCAACCGGAGCAGCAGTAGCTTAACAAGATTTCTTCCCATCCCTCAGATAGATATGCTATATTTGCGGTCTCCCTTTTCCTTTGCCTCGAGAATACGAAAACTCAGAAGTTCATCCTTGTAATTTTTTTCTCTCCCTCTCTTACTTACTTACTTATATATCTTAACTTCTTATTCCGCTGCATTTTGTTTCTCTCTCTGTCTGCTGGGCAGGTCTGCGAGCACTGCAGCTATAGAAACGCCAAGGAATACAATTGGCAGAATAAAACGATCATACTGGCTGCAGATTATGCCAGTAATGGCATTTATAATTTTATTATACCGCTGCGGGCTCACTTCAGGTACCGTATATAACATAGACCTACTTATACCTATGTATAAAAAATTTTTCCCTTTCCTTTTTTTTTTAATTTTCATGTAGATATAAAAAACGAGAGTTGGCAGTACTAGTAGTAGTAGTGTAAGCGCTACTCTCTCTGCTTTGTGCGCACACTGCGCGCGCGCCGCGAGAGAAGCAAAAAAAGGGCAAGGTGAATTTTAAATTCAACTTAGCTGCTACTCGGGCGAGTAAGAGCCGAGCGTACTACGACGATATAGATATAAGTCGAGCTTCCTTACAAGAGAGGGATTTATTCCCTTGCGCTCTCGGGGATTTTTTTTTCTTTCACTTTTTCATCAGATTATAATCAGTGTGTGGCCAGATAGTAATTGCCAAGATCTCGTCTTATATAACGTATTATTATTATTATTATTTTTTGTTCATTCGATGTAAAAATAATTGAGCGGCTGGGCAGCAACTCGAGCTAATAATTGCTCTCTCTCGTTCCTCCCGCGCGCAGATCTAAAACCTCGCTGAACCCGATAATTTTGCTACTGGAGAGGCGTCCGGAGATCGCGTTTTTGGACGCGATCTCGTATTTCCCGCTGGTCTACTGGATGCGCGGCTCGATCGATTGCCTCGACGACCTGTTAAGGGCCGGCATCACCCTGGCCGAGAACGTCGTCGTCGTCAATAAGGAGCTCAACAACTCGGCCGAGGAGGACACCCTCGCCGACTGCAACACCATCGTCGCCGTGCAGACCATGTTTAAGTAAGCCATCTCTCTATCTATCTTTCACTCACTTTCTTAGGCGGTCATAAATCACACGTGCGCGCCGGCAATTTGCACCTCGCTGCTGTGCGATGTATAATATGTGGGTATAAAGCCACGTCGAGCGTGATACGCCAAAAAATGCAATAGAAACTAGGTCTTACAGAGTATATTGTAAAATTTCAGCCTCGTATTTCTATCCCTCGCGAAGATCTACAGAATCTCAAAGTTGGATTATCATTTTTTAAATTTTATTCTGCTTTTATGGGGTGAGTAGAAAAAATATTTGAATCAGGATTTTAAAAATCATATCTACTAAAAAATCCCTTTAAATATAATAAAGTAGCACAATAGTCCATTAATAAATTTGTTCATATTGAAATATGTTCTTCGAAAGACCAGAATACAACTTTTCCTAAAATTTGGTCATAGTCTAACCATTAGATAATCGTGATAAAAAAATCATGATTCAAATATTTTTTCAAATTCACCCCATAAAAGATCAGAAGGCCCTGTTGATCTACGAGGAATGGCTAAAATTTTGGAATAATTATCAATTTCTCGTCTTGGCTTCGTCCATACACGCTGAATAGTGAAATAAGTTGAATCAATATGCTTTTCTCTGTTCTCTATCTCATGTGTCTCGTTACACTCCGACCATCCAATCAACCAACCAACCGACAACAGATTCTTTCCGAGCATTAAGAGTATCACGGAACTGTCGCAGTCGAGCAACATGCGCTTCATGCAGTTCCGTGCCCACGACAAGTATGCTCTGCATCTCAGCAAAATGGAAAAGGTACTTCTCAGTACTACTTCCGGTGACAACTACCCCGCTGAGCCTACGCTGGGCTCCCCGGTAACATGAAAATCACTCACTCTGATCTTCTGATAATAATATTAATTATTATATTATATATATAATATATATTTTTATATTATACTTTTTTTCATTCGATTTTTTTTTCTCGTCTTTTCTCACGTATACTCATCGATGAAACGGTCGCATCGAGATGTATAATGTTGTATTTACACACGATGGTTTTATCGATGAGCTGTATCACGAACTTAGGTTATATAGCTGTGCACCTATTGTCCGTCTTCGCAACTTCTTTTCTTTTTCCTTACTATTTTGTCTCGAAACAACTCTATAATAAAGAAATTGAAGAAAAAAAAGCCCAAAGTGTAGATAAACGTACACACGTATCTATATGCAAAGACAAAAGAAATCCACTTTATCTAAAGTGCTACTTATGCTACCTGCTCTTGCACTTTGGTCGTCGGAAAGCTTATCGACTTATTTTACAAGCGTATCGTAAAACGTCTAAGGCCGTCATTGCTTCTTTTTTTCAAGTATTAACGCCGAGTAAAAAGAAAAAAAGAAAAACAGAAATAACAGGTTCAAAGTAACGCATTTTTAATTGAAAATTTTTTTTAAACGCGTTACGATGAAAAAAAAAGAGAGAAGAAGAAGCTGCGAGGATGGAATAATGCAGCTATGAAAAACAGTGAACTAAGGTCGAGATGTCACTTCTAGAATTTGCTTGACAAACTATATATATATTATATATATATCTGTCATAGTTAGCTGAGGCATGGTTATTGTTTAGAAGTATTAGATGAATTAACCTCTGAACAAATTTTGTAAATAAATCACGTTTCTTTGCTCGCAATACAATCATGCATAAAATCGACTTAAAAAACCTTGGCCCGGAAGAGTAAAACATGAAAGTATTCGAGTATTTGAATCGCTTCTAGACTCGAGTGCTTATAACATAATGAAAAACGTAGTTTAGCATCCTGTGCGATGTAGCCAGTAATTATTGAAATATTTTCTTTTAATTGATCGTAGTATATAGCATGCGGCGTGTATCTCATAGAAGCTGATTTTTGCCATATATTTTAGACTAGATAAGCTATTGCGAATCATCGCTAACATTTTGCCTCAAGTAAAGCTTTGTATTATATCGTTATTAGTTTTGGTCGCTGCTCGATTTAATTAAAATTAATTGAAAAATTTTCCATCTTTACGAAATGAAAGAAAACAAAAAATTAATAAACGAAATGAACTTAAGTGAAAAATCTTGGCGAAATGTACCGGTGGGCCCATAGCATGTGCTTGAAAAAAAATCGTTGTGTATAATACATAACTCTGCAATTATGTATATACATGATATATAAATATCTAACATTATATATATATGTATAAAAAAATCTAATCTCCCCGTAAGTAGTGAAAATAAAAAAAAAATCAAACGTCTTCCGAAGACTGTACTAAAAGAGGCTTTTTTTCTAAATCTTCGCCGCACGAAAAACCACACGCAGAGAGAGAAAGAACGAGGCTCGCACATATCCTACATGTTTCGTCTGCCGTTCGCTGCTGGCAGCGTATTCAGTGCCTCCATGCTCGACACTCTGCTCTATCAAGCCTTCGTCAAGGATTACGTGATAACGTTCGTGCGCCTGCTGCTGGGCGTCGATCAGGCCCCCGGATCCGGATTTTTAACCTCGGTTAGTTTATACCTCTTTCCGTCTTTCATTCATTTTTTTTTGCTTCAAACGTTTCATCGTCTCGCTACTGATTTCCATGCGCTCTCTCGACAAAAGATGAAAATAACGAAGGAGGACATGTGGATAAGGACTTACGGCCGGCTGTATCAGAAGTTGTGCTCGACGACCTGTGAAATCCCCATCGGCATTTACAGGACGCAGGACACGTCGATAGTCGACACCTCGCACGTAAGTGCCTTTTTCTGCACTTATTTTCTTCTTATTTTTTTTTTTTTTGCTCCCCCCCTCTCCTCCTACATACATGTGATACGTCGAATATAAACCTTACAAGCGCTTTGGACGACATATTTTTCTCGATTTATTATATTGCGTATACGATACCGATGGATTTCCGGTACACGCGAATGTAAAGAAAGGAAGAAAAAAAAACACACACGTTCGAGAAAGGACAGTATACATACCCATTAGCCAACAAAAGTCTCTCGAGTAAACGAGCTCTCTTGCAGGACGAGGGCATCGAGTACCTATACATACTTCGTACCCAAAGAATGATCGTTGAATGTATGGATAGAGCATGATTGTAATGGTCTTTTGTATACTATTTATACCTATCTGACGATACTCTACTGAACACTGATATAGTAATTTTATTACTTTTTATACGAAACATTTTATTTAATTGAGATGAAAACTAATTTTAACAATGGATGCGTATGTTGTATGCGTGAAAACACGTGCACTCGAATCTTGAGAGAATGATTATAAATAAGCAAGGCGGCTGATGAAAAAAAAACGTAAGTGCAAGTAGAGAAATGCTTGGTTTTTTCTTTTCATTTTTCGGTTTCTCTCGTTTATGATTTTGAAACCAAAAACAACAACAACAACGACAAAACAAAAAAAAATCCATAAACGCCGACCATCGGGAACAGGGTGACTCTGACGCGGAAAGCGACGCCGGTGTCGGCGTCTCGTACAAGATACGCCATGCGGCGGCGGCGTCCTGCTTAGCCAATTGCACCACTGCCCGCGAGAAAGGCGCCACAGCTGTAAGTATGATGCATATACTTAACAATTATTATTCTTATTATTATTATCATTTTTTTTTTTACTTTTTTTTCGACTCGTTTCACAGAAAAAAGTTTTTAAGAAAAAAAAGAGTATATTTGATTACAAAAAGAATTATAATATTCATTTGTTCTTCAATATATCTTCTTGTCTAATTAATCTAATTTTTTTCTCTGTTTTTATCCGACCTATCATACCCTATTATACGTGTCTCTGTATCCAGCACAACTACCACTCCGTGGCCCGCTGCGATCGGCTCTCTTTTTCTGTACATATTTTTATTAATTTTTATATACGTGTGTGGTTTTGAACGTTTTTTTGTATACATAATTTAACAGTTTGATATAGTTTCTAGTTATGTGGTTATTTGACACGCTTTGAGTTTTTGCGCTTATACAAGTACTGTTACTTTTTATTTAGATTTGAATTGTTCAGAGTGTACAGCTTACATCCGATACGAGATTTTCTTTATTGCAAATTATGATTTCTGGTTTTCTCTTCAATATATTGTTATTATTACTATTGCCAAGTGCTAGCAAGGCATGACGTTGATTTATAGATTAAGTGTGTTCTTGACCCGTGCGTCTAGAATCTCATTCGGCACTGTCCTATTGAGTGCAGCTTGTGTTATTTGTGCCTATAGTACCTACTTTAGCTCATCTGAATTTGTGGTAAATTTAATTGAAATAAATAATTGTCTCTAATTTTGAAGGTAAAATGAAAATAAAAAGAAAATCATTTCATTACTTTTTTTTTGGCCCCGCAATATTCGCGCGCATCGTCCCTATTGACGGGCGCACGGGCAAATACGATCGAAAATTCAAAACGTTGAATAGATCGTATTGATTTTTTCATTATAATGCACATTATTCATAATGGCTTTCACGTCGATAAAAAAAAAAAGGAAAAATTGTACTGCGTTTCCACTCGAAAATGGAATTCAGCTCTTTATTTCGCGTGTACACTCGAACGATGCCCTATTGTTTGAACATAAACACTTTTCAAATATTATCTTTAGTTTTTTTTTTTTTTTTTTTAATTTGAATACAACCCTTTTCATGCATATGCTTTCTACTTTTTATCTAGTTCTTTACATCTCTCTTATTCTGGTATTTTTTTTGTTTTTTTTTGTTGGCGTCTCTCTCCGACGTTCCTTTTTTTTAATTCGTATGAAAGCTCTGGCACATGGCGACGGCACCGCTCTGCACCTTAAAAAGCAAAATATCATGGGTTTTAACGGCGACCACCACCACCACCACCATATCAACGACAAAACGGTAAAAGAAATGAGTAAAGATAAAAAAGAAAGAAAGAGAGAGACAGAAGGATCGATTCGGCAAACAAAACGATATGTAGTATCTATATACACGAGCATGAGACTGAATTCGCCTAGTTTCGTTCTCAATCCTAAGTGTGTGTATGTATGTGTTTTTTATCTGTGTCTATTGTCTCCTCCCCCCCTTACACATCGGCTCGTGCACTCTCAGCTCTTACCCATTCGAGCAGAAGTAAAGAGGACAGATCATCTTTTTCTTTTTTTNTTTTTTTTTTTTTTTTTTTTTTTTTTTTTTTTGGAACAGTAGAGGAAGCTTCGTCGCTCTGGGTTTTAGCCCGCCCGAGACGCGTCTCTTGCGTGGATGGAATCGAGTGTAAAAAGAAGGCTCGAGCATTGATTTGGATGAGAGAAAAAAAATCGATACTTGTACATACCGTATTTGTCGTTGACTACACATATATTTGCCTTGCTTATTTCCTTTGAGTAAATGTTCGTACTTGTAGCGCGCGGCAAATATTTCGTTCGCTCCATTCTTTTCACACTCGACCTATATCGCATCATGCGCGCTCATATATATATAGCGATTCGAAGGAAAAAAAAATTCGATAAAATAAGATACCATGAAGGAAATTACGTTCGAGTGCATCAGATAACCCCTTGGAATTTGCAGACTGCGTCTGTCGGCGTGTACAATCATCAGTTATATTTTTCGACGTAAAAAATCATTAAAAAAAAATTAACGGAAGCTCATCATTGTTACCGATGAATCACTGTAGGCGCCTTCACGCTCATCGCAAAAATTTAAAAAAAAAACATCTTAAAGTAGAACCAATTAAAAAGCTATAAAAATAATTTTGGTGTTACACATTCGAAGCGATATTATTGCAAAATACATGATTTTTGCACGTTTTTTTGTGTGTGAGTTCACAAACACGAAGCTATATTATAGTCTATCAATGATACCAAAGTACTGCATAACGTACACTGTGTTCAAATTTTTGTTGTCTTATAATATGGTGTTATTGTCTAAGTATTGATAATTATAAGAAAAAAAATAGACAAGTATCATGCACCGATTTGACATATTATAGCAATAAACACATAATACATTGTTGGAAGTGAAGTTTTTCTATTATATACCAGGCTATATGGAGTTGCGCACGATTGTTTTTGATGCCTATATAAGACACAAGCTTTATAATACATACTTATGCAGTCCTGGTAGAAATGCTCAATAATCTCTGGCTAGTTTTTGGCCAACATAGAAATTTTTCATGTACAATTTGCCAATGTATGACTTACTGGAATTTTTTTTAACCGTGTTGTTTTTACTTGTACATTTAGTTCGACTTTGCCACTTGCAGATTTAAAGATACAGATATTATACTCGTCATCTAGTGGTGAAGTCTTAAAGTTTCATTACCTTATTCAAAGTGATTGAAAACTGCTCAAAGTATTCAAAATACATGAGTTATCATTTTTAAATTATCTTATAATTATAACATAAAAATCGTCTAAAACTAGTCAATTTATAGTAATTTTTTCGGTCACTAGTCCATTAATAAAGTTGAGCATTTCTACCCAAGGAAATGGACATTGAGAATCGTGGAAAATTAAACATAGATAATAAAGAAACTTGTGTTGAATATAATTTTCACGATATCTCGACGTCTGCCGATTTGTCGCGCCGCAGCCGATCGCCGCCTATCATCACGCGCCTCGTTCAAAAAGCGATTATCACTAATTCGCGGCGTCTCTCCGTTTCTCTTGTTTTTTCCCCGGCAGTACTCGGTGAGCATGGGCGACGAGGCGCGCGACAATCACACCCAGCAGATCGAGCGCGCCGAGATCGCCAATCTCGTGCGCTCGCGCATGGAGTCGCTCAATCTGCCCGTGGCCGACTACGACGACGTCTCGGAGAAGCGCAACAGCCTGAGCTACGTCATCATCAATCCGTCGTGCGATCTGAAGCTCGAGGAGGGCGACATCGTCTATCTGGTGAGGCCGTCGCCCTTCTCCGCGCAGAAGACCTTCGAGCGTCACAACTCGCGGCGCAAGAGCAACATCAGCTTCTGCTCGGCCCAGCTGGTGGCCCAGATGAACGCCGCGGTCTCGACGGCGAGCGGTTTGGTGGGCGGGCCCGGAGGAGGAGGCGGAGGCGGCGGCGCGCCGGCGAGTCGTCGCGGCTCCGGCATCGGCATCGCCGCCAGGGCGCCACCGCTCTCCAGCACCAAGTCCAACTCGCTCTCGCTGCCCGACAGCCCCACGGTGTCCGGCAGTCTGAGGGGTCGCTCCAACTCGCTGCGCGTCGTCGACGACATCCTACTGAGACGTAGCAATTCTCTGAGGTACGTTATTTTTTTTTTCAACATCTATCGACCAGCTCGAGAGCATCTCTGTAATTTGGTATTCGGTCGCTCGCAGACAAGGCCTGAGCATTCCGGCGAGGCGCAAGAGCAGCCTCGAGGACATCGGTCTCGGCGCCCTGTCGCATCCCTCGAATCACAATCCCATCAAGATAGCCCTCAACGACTCGATCGGGCTGGAGGTGACGCCGCCCGAGGAGGGCAGCCAGTCGGGCAGCACGACGGCGAGCAATACCGGTATTCTCGACGTCGGCCTGCCGCCGATGTCCGTCCTCTCGGCGCGGCTCGGCTCCGGCCTCGGCGGCTCGATGGGCGGCCTCTACGATCCGTCGCCGTCCTGCTCCTCGTCCTCGGCCTACGGCGGCGGGCCCCAGTCGACCTCGTCCTCGGGACAGCTTCAGGGTGCCGGCGGCTCCTCCTCCTCGTCGTCCCAGCAGGATCCCCAACACATACAGGGCACGATCGTATGATACAACCTCATGTGGGGGCGCAGATTCTCCGGTGTCATGAGAAACAAGTGGCTGTAAGCGTGCCCCACATCGGTAAAAAAAATTCAACAATCCAATGCAACAGATGCTTTAGGACTCTCTTATACATATAGTTATTATGTAGCAGCCCGACTCTGTATATATAACACAAGAAAAGAAAAAAGTATATTGTAAGCTCGTGCGCACATACGTGGCTTCTGTCTCGTATGTATTTCGGAACGTGAAAATAAAACACAATGGATGTTTAATGTATAACCACCGAATAGTGCGAGGACTCGACGAAGTACGTCGTATCCACGTTTTAGAGCTGCGGTATCGCTCGCTTAAGCATTTTTGTTGTCGTCCTCTCTATTTTTTTATTTTATAGCGCTCATTTAGAAAGATGCAAAAAGTTACTCTCTGGTTCTCGCCTCATTAAAAGCAACAATTAAATTCAATGAAAAGAAGAATAATTCAAACTTCAAAACTTTTATAACTCGAAGGAAACTTATTGATAAACGACTTTACTTTATTTTTTTGAATTATTATTATTTTTCGTATCCTGAAAAAAACCGATTGAAATTTTTTGCATCGAGCCTCGTGTACATAAAGGTAGTGATGATGTGAAGAACAACCAAAAGGCAGCATACGAGCCACTTGAAAACTAAACATCAAAATACAATTAATTTCTCAAATCTGTGGTCGAATATCGAGACGAGATCGCCACGCCAACAATTTTTAACCCCGATGCGTGTATTTGTAAATGGAATGTTGTGTATTTTAAGCAAATAAAGGGCTTCAAAATGCCTGACGTTTGCCAAACTCAACGGCGCGGTGCTACTCGATCGCCGTGCGTTGTTGAAACTCGTAGCTATACTATACAGATATATAGATATATATAAAAAGATTAATTAATGAACAAGACATCAAAGTGTAAGTTAGGCGATTTTGAACGAAAAGAAATTCTATTTAATATTTAGCGACTTCGAGTGTCCTTCAAAAAGAAAATAAGTCAAAAAAAAAAGAATGATATGCGATTGCCTATTTATATAAAAAGTAAATAACTATACACACACATACCCGGTCGATAATTTTGTACTAGAGAACAATGCAAAATGAAAAAAAAACGAAAGAAAACAAAAACGAAAAAACTCAACTATTAACAATATATTTATAAGAAATCTATTATTAATGAAATTTATTCATATCACGCGAGCTGAATAACGTAAAATTCGCTTCAGCGTGCGAGTACTACTATATTCGTAGAGGTGTTCAAACAAAAAAAAAACGAGTTTATATATAGCGTTAACCGATATATCGTGTAAACTGTGACGTGTTTTTGCTGTACAATTTTCGACATAAATATACGCGTATCCTTTTGTTTCATTATGCGGCACTTGTTTTCGAGCCCGTTGATTTTGGGATGCGAGCGGAAATCGATTTGTACATCGTCAAATATTTAAGAAAAATCATGTTGGTGCTTGTAAACTAGTTAAAAACTGTGTGTTGAAGAAAAAAATGTGGAATGGATAAAATTACTGGGACCTTACAAAAAAATGTATCTATTATTGAAAGCGCGAGCGAGGCTCTCTTATCTCGCGTTCGTTACAAAAAAACGATAAACATGTATTTATTAACACTTAAGATTGTGAATGTAGTTTACGTTTCAAACGAAATTATTCTATTTAAATTTAATATTGACTCGAAGAAAACTCAAATGTACAATGATCGACTATCAAATTTATTTTTACCGACTCCTGATTTCAGACAATCTATTATTCATCTTGACAGTTGACTGGGTAACTTCTACAATTAAATTCTCGGGTACCTTCTTTTCTACATTTCGCTCACCTTAAATTGCGTATATAAATTAAAATTTTATCATTAATACGAATTGTGTAAATAAATAAACAAATTAAATAATTAAATAAAAAAAAATACATTCAAACGAAGTTCGTTTGTTAGTTTCTAGAGAAAGCACACTTTGTCAAGTGTCAAGGTTTTGGGCGAGGGTAAAGTAAAAATAATGAATTAAGAATGAATATGTCAAAAAGATGTGTAAAATTAGACTTACAAAGCGCTGAGCGTCAAAAGTGTGCGCATTATTCGCGTTATTTAGTACTTGGAAATCAAGATTTTATTATTAATTGAGATCCACATTCTGGATCGAAATTTCTTAACTACATAATTAAACTAGCCCAGCTTCGAAGCTCGGTATTGTTATTTCGTTAATATTTCAAAGCTGTTATACATGTGAAATCATCGTTTTATCTTCTAAGTAAAAGTGGTTATTACTTTCGTCGTTAAATGAACTTTGGACAAACGATTATAGATAGAAGAGGAACGGTAGAAAATTTTTAATGCTGAACAGTTTTTAAAAATAAAACCTAAAATAACAGCGTAAATTTTATAGGAGAATTAAAGTGTATCTCTATGAACATAACAAATATGAAGAAAAAAAACTAATATTCATTTATTAATGTGAAGCGTTGATATTTGTCTTTCATCGCGCCATCAGTAATATTATTGTAAGGAAATGCAACTCTGACGATGATATTAAAAAGCAAACTGTTTTCTGGAATTTCATAAAGTAAAAAAGTATCATTATACGCTGCAATAATGAAAGGTAGTAAATTTTCATATTAAAGCGTACAGGTAAAAATAAACTTTAGTCTAACTTGGTAATTTGATTTTTGTACGAAGATGATGCCATTAATAATTACGATAATTTGTTATTACTAAAAATTTAAATCAATGTTCCAATCTTTACTCGTATAAATAATGTCCGTAGTAAAGGTATATGCCTAGTATTCATTATATATCGACCAATTTCATTTCTCTTAGGGTTTGATATGTGAAAATAGCGAAAAATTGGCCTTCAGTTTACAGTTAAAAAAAGCGAAATAAGGCGTATGATGAAAACTTTGAAAGAATTTATAGCGTATTTAAAAGTAAGTAAAAATATTTTTCAAATATTTTTCATGAATTGTCAGGAAAAAAAAACGTTTAAATTGACAATGGCAAATTGCTCGTAAATAAAGAATGATACAATTATTTAAAAACAAACTCTTCGTTACAAGACCCTTCATAGTTTTTAAGCCAAAAAAATATCCAGAAAAATTTCTTCGACCAACCTTCAAACAAAATTAGATAATGTAACGTCGAGAACGAAAGGACAAGTTTCGATGCGATTAAAAAAAAAGAAATGTATTATGATATAAACGAATGTATGTAATGTAATATATCAGAGATGAAAATTGTAAACTATATAAATATATATTGATTGCTCTGGCGAGGTACGATCTCGCCAGCCGGCATGAAAACATAAATTTATTACAAATAAAACAAAGTGAAAAGCTAAATTTTTCCATCAGCGTTTCAATTATTGGGTTGGATAAATAAATACAAACACATGATTATGTTCACGAAAATAATTTTGGTATATTTTTTTTTTCTTTAATGTCAACGTAAATGTCGAATTGTTTTGCTTTAATAATTTCATTGCTCGTTTGAATAATTCAATATAATTCAATAATTCATTAAATAAATAATATTTAAAGTTGTAAAGTGTATTAAAATACGAATTAATACTAATGAACTAGCGTATTAGTTTTGTATCTCGAAATTTGTTTTCTTTTTCTCCAGTATTTTAATTTACAATTGCACTCGCAGCCACGCGCGTACACGGGAATGTACGGTAATAATCTTACATCATTACTTTTTTTTTGTTATCTTACATTAACACGCTCTTCTTAAGATTCATCGATTATTTACAAAAAAAGAGACTCGCTTCATCATCAATTATTTTTGCAAAGTAATTAATAGTAAAACGAATTACACGTAGTTGTTGTTTTGTCAAGCAAAACCTGAATAAAATTCAAACGATCTTGCTTAATTCGCTCTCTCTTATCATTTATAACAAATGTAAATTTATTTTGGCCATTGTGACGTTTAAATTATTATCTATAAAAGGTAAATTCACTCGGTCTTGGGCGAGTCGTTCTCGCCTTTGCCAACTACTGCGCCATCCTCATTGGTACTCTGCTGCTGCTGCTTTTGCGAGTTACTGCAGGTGGCAGAATCGTTGTCTGTCGGGGCTGCTGCCGCCGCCGGTGGGGCGGGTTTCTGCAGCAGCCGCGACTTGTCCGCTGGTCATGCAGTTCTCGCGGCCGGCAGCTGGGCCTTGGGCACGTTGGCGCTGAACTGGCCGACTATGTTGCCGCGCGGATGATAGCAGGCGACCACGACGCAGGTACCGTCGCGCTTCGCCATCGCCATGCCCATCTCGCGCGTGCCGCGCCACACTATCTGCGTGAAGTGACCTGAAAAATGCGCACGATGCACAAAAAACACAGTTAGCTTCGCTGCAAGTTGGACAAGAGGGATTTACGTGCACACAAGGTCAAGGGTTCAGACAAGATGATATCGTCGAGGCGGGGGGTTTTTTTTTGTTCCGTTGTGCGCGCGAGCGGCGCATAATTTTTATTAGTTCATTTAAATAATCGAGTAATTAGAGATAATTTGCATACTGACAAAGAGACTCACATGTGTTCATGATTCTCGGCTCGGTGCCGAACTTGTGCTCCTTCCTCTCGGCGTACCATTTGGAGATGACTTCGCGCGGCGATACGATAAGCTTCGGGTCCGAGCACTGCATCGAGTAAATGTTCTCGCCGTAAGGCGACGACGACTGCGGCACGAGTTTGTTCGTATTTAGCAAGGTGCACGCCCATTGCTACGTACGACGACGACGCACGAGACACAAAAAAAGGAAGAGAGACAAAGATTAAATATATATATTTGGCGCGCGCTCGGCGAGGCGTGAAATTCACGTTTCGTTCGTTCGTTCGCTCTTCTTACCTTGGCAGCGGCTGTGAGATCTGCGTTCAATCTCAGCTCGGGCACCCTGTGCCTTCTCCGATACTCGTTGTGCACCTTGAGAGCTTCGAGCTCCCACGACTTCTCGTCCAATACCGGTTTATGCAGCTGCTGCTGCGGCTGCGGCTCCGGACTGTTGGGCTGCGAACTGCCGTTGCTGCTGCCGCTCTTGCCGGGCTGCGGCGACGACGCGCCCGACATCGACGACGACGACGTCCGCTCGTGATGATGATGCTGATAGTCGTCGCCGTTGCTGTGCCGATGCAGGGGCGGCACGACGTTCTCCGTGAAGCTGCCGAGATAATTGCCCGCCGGATTGTAATTGGCCACGACGTAGACCTCGCCGTTGCGATTGCGCGCCATCCCGACGCCCAGCTCGAGGCTGTCGCGCCAGACGACCTGGGTGAAGTGGCCCGTCTTGAGGGTGGTGGGCTCCTTGCCGTAGGCGTGCTGCTGCTCCTCGGCGTACCACTCGTGCACCGGCTCGTCGCCGTTTATCACCGTTTTCGGATTCGAGCTCCAGACGCAGAAGAGATTCTCGCCGTAGTCGACGTTGGCCCGATGCTCGAGACGGCCCCGCGTCGCCAGCGAGTTGGCCCACTCTTGACTAGCCTTGCACAGCTAATACAAAAAAAAACAAGCAAAATATCGTTAGATATCTTCTTCTTCGTATCGTTGAAGGTTTTTTTTTACTCGACTCTTTAATTATTACCTGCTTGTTGAGACGCAGCGGGGGCACGCCGTGGCGCGACCTGTAGTGGTTGTGCGCCTCGAGGCAGGCCTCGACGAACTCCTTGGACGGACCCGATCTGCGCACACATGGTTTACGTACTTCAGTCTTGGTGATCTACAACATAGATAGGCAGTTGGATAAAAATAAGTCGAAATAACTATAAATTAGGTTAGCTCGGGGTTATTTGTTTATCCTTTCGCGTGGTAATAGATTTTTGCGGGGGTAAGACAGACCCATCGGATGATTTGTTGTTTCCCATATCGTCGTTCGAGCTACATACTCCAAAGACTCGAAAATTTCGTCTACTCTCGAATTTACTCGTTGACGTTTGATTATTTTTATTGGCGAAATTGTGTGTCGTACGTTAATGAAGGTTATGAAAATAAATTTACTCGGTAAGATTATAACAACATAAAGATAGAGTCAAGTACAGCCTTCTCGTTCGATTTTATCATTTTGAAACATAAAAATTACTCATTTTTATGACTTGTGTATCACAAAGCAATCTCAAAAACTAAGTGTTTATACAATCATAGGGTATGCTAGATTTTGAAAAAAATGTGGTTTTATCGGGCATAGCTCTTTCTCAGCTTTTTACTATTTCATAGTTCCATAATAATTTATAGAACAGAAAAAGCATGTTATTGATTTGTAGATATGAAATATATAATAGCACATTATATTGATAATGTCGTAAAATTCTCAACATGATTTGTAAATATTAAATTAAATTTAAACTTTCACGAAACTACTGACAAAGACCATACAGAACAGAGTTTCGCTCGCTAATATTTTGAAAAACTTCGTCTACGCGAGGCCCATGCGCTATCGTGGCGTGCATGGCAAAACATCGCGTGTGCCGAGCACCGCACACGATGAGGTCATGCATGCCCTGTGCGACCGTAAACAACAGAACGAGCAGCGGCGGGGCTCTGTGCAGTAGCAAGTGATCTTCGCCAGTTATCCCGCGTAGTTCGCTAAGAGAGATTAGTCTTTGACGAAATTTCAAGTGAGAAAGATGGATTCTAGTGGTTCATTCAACTGTGCAGTCAGGTAGTTTTCATGATTGATGATTTCATAATGATTTTCAATGACCGTCTACAGAAACTGAATAGCTGGAACTGAACAGCTTGCATTTTCAGTCCATCACTTTTTTTATAAATAAATAACAAAATATATACACGTAGTTTGGCTTGCATCGACGCCGTCTCCCGCATTTTCACGGCTTAGCACGTCGCGCGGCGAGACACCGAGTCAATGACTTTTGCATCAAATGCAGTTCATCGATGTCGGCGATTCAGCGTTACGGAGAAAAAAAGCAGCGCACGCTATATGCCTTTCTTTCGGCCAGTAGCAGCAGCCGCAACGGTAAAAACAAAAAGGGGGGTCCAGAGAAAGAGAAACAGACCCGATGACACGATGCATTGTTCACGCGCACGTGCACCCAGCGTATCCCAACAAAAGCCTATTATGTTTATTGTCCGAGCTTTCCTTTAGACGATATTAGTCGCAAATTTTTTTCTTTATTATAATTACCTGATTCGACGTGCTGGAGTATCTGGCGGAGTCCGGCGACGCCGAGGAAGACCTCGCGCTGCTGCACGACATGCCATCGCTGCCGAGGCTGCTGTGGAAGCTGCCGTGGATCGAGCTGCTCGACAGCGGACCCGGCGATGCAGGCGACGCCGTCAGCGGAGACTTGGATCTCACCGACTCGGCCCTTGACCTGCGCGAGAAAACAGAAGTCGATCAATTCTATAATTTTACGTATGCGATCGAGATTTCTTTTTTTTGTACGGAGCTACTGAAAATTAAGTCGCAGGTTAATTTTGTCTTTTTAGCTATATATAGTAAAAATCGAAGCGATCTATTAAACATATTACAGGCATAGTAGTAGATAGTAGTAAAAATGATGAGGGAATCGGGCAATAAAAATCTACCGCTGATGAATGAATGAGAGAATAAGTGCTGTTGTAGCGGTCCGCCGCGCTCAATTGTTTCTTGGTCGAAGTAAAAGTCCGATAAAAGCAGAATGAGAATATATCCCTTCGAGGCTCTAAAAACGAACGAGAGACCGGTCGCTTCCTTATACATATTGTGTATACATCGGAATAGAGCTTGAACCACGCGCGAGCGTCGACGCTGTGGTTTTTCGCTCTCTCTCTCTTTCCGCGGATCGGCTAATTAGTTATGCGATAAAAAAATAAAAATAAAAATGTAAAATACAAGAAGGAGAACACGTCCATCGCGAGGCAAAAGTGTGCGGCGGCGCGCAAAAAATCGCGACTACTTTACAAGTTTATCGCGTCGATCGGTTGTATCCTTAACAAATAGTCAACGTGGAATTTTTTTTTTTTTTTGTAAAATTTATTCTATATGTGTTTATCGTGGTAATTTCAATTGTGTCGATTTGCCCGCGATGCTGTCTAGCGCAGCACAGTAGCCGAGAGAATTGTAAACATGCCAAGGCCTGGGTAATACATTATCATGCGAACGAGGAATTAATAGCTACTTATTGAGATTAAATTCACTTGAAAGGTTTTACACGTTTTTTTGTTATTGTCGTAAGTACGTATGTATACTCAAGAGAGCTACGTACACGCGTGCTACAGCTGCATAATAATAATCTCACGCAAAAAATTACGCATCCTCACGGCGGAGCTCCTTTTTTTCCTCCTCTTCTTCTTCTTCTTCTTCTGCTGTTGCTGCTTCTCATTACGTGCGTTAAGTGGGCTATACACGGAGAGCGTCATATCTCGTAATTTTAAGCGTCTCACCGAAAATTACATACAATTATTCCCGCTACTTCCCGAAGTATAAAAGGCTTGTAATACCATTATTATCGCGAGGTGTGAGTTTTCGGTTAGGCTTGTGTAATTATTATTATTTCTTTTTTTTGCTTCCCAACCTTGAGATCGTTGTACAATATTTACTGCGTTCGGAATGACCTATCAGTCAACAACCAATGTGTGCAACAAATACGTCTACATAACAGGGTCAATTTTTTCTATTAATAATGACACGCGCACACGCGCGGACAGCGAACGAGTCTCGCGAAGCAATGACGGCTACTATTTTTACAATCGAACGATAGCCGATAGGTGTACGTATAGACGTGTAACGCGTGAGAAAAAAAAGCCACTATTGTACACACACTTTCTCGACCGCGATCACTGATCGTTTTGCGGCTTTTTTTTTCTTCAACCCAAAAGCAAAAAATCGGATGTGCATGTAAAGACACGCCATATCCTTTTCCACCTCTTGTCGTATCGAATCCTTCGTATATGTTTCTGTGTACACGAAATGAAAAAAAATTTTTTTTTATTTCTGCACGAAATCGTAAGCGCAAAGATGCCAATTGTCGTCGACACTCGGCCTCTGCTATATACACGAGTGTAATGTACGATATAAATGGCTGAGTTATGCGGTAAGTATGTGTTATACATTTAATGCTGTAACTGAAATTGAATGACTTTTACTCGGCTGAATGTCTGTGTGTATGTGTTTACTCGTAGTACGACCATGAGAAAAGTGAAAATAATAAATTTGACGCTGATCGTTTTGCTGCACGCGTCGTGTTTTTTTTTTTATAAAAGTATGAAAGACGAAGGAGGAAAAGTTTATACGGGTACAAACACCAGCAAACTGTTTCTCTTTAGTCCCGCGGGCTTAAAAGTGCACCGCCGACGTCAATGTTGTGTACATTATTCGGTGTAACACAGACACATACACACAGCAGGTAAGTACAAAAAACTAAATAGACGATCGATACACTTTCTTGGGACGACAAAAGTTTGTTGTTCACACTTTCGCATTTGTGACTTTCGTCGCAGATACGGTAACTGTTATACCGCCGCTGCGCTTTCTTTTTTTAAATTAAAATTTTCATCAATCGACTTTCATACTTTTTTTTTTGTTGCTTATTAGGCTCGTAGAAATGTCAACTATATAAAAGTGTAATAATACATATATATCGAAACGGTGATCGTTGAGATGATGGAAAATTTTTTGCTGCCTTGCTGTGTTTTGCTTATTTTTTTATAATAATATACCTTGCGGGCGAAATCTCGTCAACGAAGCCGACGACCTTTTTTTTCGTACCACTAACTTCTCGATTAATGTTGAGTGTGGGTGTACTACACATAGGGCAAATATATACTTTTGACAAATTGTAATTGCAGTTAAATAAAGACTATAGGATTATAAAGAACAAAACTATACTGAACAAAAAAAAATAAAGAACAAAAAAATGTCGAGCTAATTTCGGTCAAAATTGCAGCGGGGTCACATAATTCGCATTCCACAAGGTGGGCTCTTCTATATATACGATCGAATACAATTGACATTCACGAGACACACTCACCTGCTCGACTTGGGCGTAACGATGTCGCGAGTCTCGGAAGTGTACTTCCTCTCGGCGCGGCCGCCGCTGAACAGCTCGACGGTCTCGCGCGTCACGGTCTCGAGCAGCGGCTCGCCGTCCGGCGCCTTGCGGCCCTTGCTGAAGGTGCGCTGGTCGGTCTTGCGGACCATCACCACCCTGGAGAGCGGCTGATTGAAGTCGTGGCCGTGCATCGTCGGCGGTATCATGGACAGGGACTGCGACAGCGGACCGCCGACCCTCGGTGATCTGCGGGCAAAACACGAGAAGAAGATTTCAATTAATTAAATTAAATTAAAATAGCAATTACGATAAGCATATGAATTATAAAATACGCGACATTGGTGCGCGCGTCATGCGTGCATTGGGAATTGCATAAGAGCCATATAAACATTTTTCGTTGCACACGAGCTGATAAGAGCCATTTAATGAATTCATTGGCCATTAACTGAGACGCGGTTTCGCGCATACGTAAACGATAATGTATGCTTTGTGCGTAAGTACAAGATATCCGATAACGACGTCACTATATATAACATATAATGCTCCCGAAGCCGAGTAACAGAAAAAAAAATTCGAATTTACCTGGTCATTGTTCAGAGACCGACCGACAAAAGTTTATCGCCTGTCGCGCTCGCGGACTTTAATTTACCGCGGCTTCGCTTTTCCATCTGCGAATTTGCATGCGCGCGTGCAAAAAAAATGAAACTAAACTTGGGCGCGCGCGAATCGATGTCCAGTACATATAGTAACGGTACATAAAACGTTGTACGCGTGCGTGGAGCGCACTTTATAAGATGAAGTTTTTTCCATTTTTTTTATCGTCGTTGTAATCCCGTGCGTCTATTAGTCAAATCCAACGAGCGATCAATCAAGGCCTTTCCCGCGCGCGCAAAAAAAAAGAGAGAAAAAATCAAAATCATTTACACAACGAGAAAATCTCGTTCGTGCGCGACGACGACGCATGTATCGTGTGACGGGCACTACATGCGCACCGCTGCTGGTCCTATTAATTTCACCTCGCCTGTCGCAGTTTGTTGTATACTTGTACACGCGCACGCATGAGTTGAGTTTTGCAATTGCCGGATTAGTTTACTGTATAGTATGGCCCATTATGCGCGCGTTACTACCCAGTTTTGCGAAATAACGATAACGAATGTAACGAAAATTCGCGAAACTATAAGACGAAAAAAAGCGCAGCGTCGTTGACATGTGTAAGTTTACTCGTACAGTGTAATAATACGTCCATAACATATAGCACATACGCGTAATACGTGTTTTTTTCGTTCTAGTAGAGCGAGCATCGCTTCGTCGAGAATATTATAGACGGCAGGCTTCGTTTCTCTCTCTCCTTTTTTTTCTTCTCCTACGAAACTTGGAAGCGAAGCTACTAGCCTTAGAACGGCGCGTAATATACTCCACGCGTCGTTGAGTTACTTACTCACATATATACGTATTCTTTTGTAACATGGATGTGTGCAAATTTTTGCTCCTTTTCTGCGTCGTTGTACGAAAAACGTATCAACGACCATATAATAGTAATGCACGAAGAGGCAAAACAGAACCGAGCTGTATTAGAACGAGCGTAAAAAAGGCGATTTACAGTTAAAAGATTATCTCGGATAAATCGTTATAAAAATAAATAAAACCCCCTCCTCTTATTCTGCCTCGAAGACGGTTCATTACAATCGCGCATAGAGTGCACGCGGCTGAGTTTATATACAAGGCTCAGCTGGTGCGCGCCTTGTATATATTTTACTGCTCCTGGAGCATAGATGTACACATAAATATATATAGACACAATATATACCGATACTAAGAAATGCCATTATCGAACGGCAATATAGAGGCAATAGCGGCAGAAACAACAACAACAACAACAACAACAACGGCGTCGGCGTCTACAGTGAAATCAGCAAGTACTGTAATACATATATAGGTTTCAGCATCGGCTCCGAGTAGCTGAGTCGTGTATAACAAAGGTCTGCATTTTCAACGTATGCATGTGTGTGTGTGTGTGTGTGTGTGTGTGTGTGTGTGTGTGTGTACATGTATACATGCATATACACCTTCACTTTACTTTCATTATAAGGTTTCCTTTCTAAAATTATCTGATAGAATATATCTCGCGTTTATTGTAACGCACTGCACACCGAGCGAGTATGCCATACATGCATGCATGTGCCTATAGGAGAGGCGCAGCAGCTAGGCTTTAACGAGTTTCGAATAATTTAAATACATATCGGGGCGGCGAGGAAATTCATTAGCTGCGTTTCGAGAGCCTTTTTTGAAACGAGCGCCGAGTTATACTGTTTGACGTTTGTCCCGATCGCTTCTTATATCATAGCTGTCACTTTGACGCGCGCTCGATCGAGATCCCGCTACTTGCGAATTAAGATATTACAGGCTCTCTGAGTAACGAGTGGATCGTGTCGGTGGCCCTGTATACGCAATCGATTATTGTTTTCGGTTTGTCAAAGTACATAAACTCACATGTTGAGTTCGACGCTGGAGCCACCGCAAGACGAGCCGCTCTTCATCGCCATGATAGTATGTATGAGTTGTTGTATATTACAATGGTAAACTTCAATACACAACTTTGTCGTAACGACACATTAACACACAAACGTCGCACACATACACGAGTACACACACAAACACAAACACGAGGCACACTCCACAAATGTGTGTATCTATCGTACACTAGGTACACGGAGACGTAGAACAAACGTAGTAATATACATCGGTGACTGCTCGCGTTAATCGTGCATTTTACATATAATGTTTTTTGAGCCAGCGGCGCGTCCGCGCTCGCGCGCTTCGCGTCGTGAACTGAGGCGGAAAAGACTTTACGCCGATGTATATACTATATACTCGTGCAGACAGTATATATAGTGGTATACGGCGGCGGCGGCGGCGGCGGCGTCGGAGGCGCAGACTATACGGCAGAAACTATATTTTCTGTACATATATAGCCGACCGAGCGCGCTCAGAGAGAGCCCCTCGCGCGCGCACTACGTCCCTTTCAGCTCGTATAAGTATATATAATATATACAATGCAACGCACGAACCAAGTCGAGCGCGAGCCGCAGAGCTCTACGTACACATATGCAGCCAATTAGCCCGTTATGTGCGCAACTATACACATGCGCATATACGCGTGCAGCAACTCTTTTGGGTTACGCCTCTGACTGTGTGTATGTGTGTGAGCGACCCCATCCCTTATAGTGCATATTAAGCAGCGCGTGGGTGCGTGAGCTGCGGGTATTAAGCGCGCACCGAAGGTAAAGCCCCCTTTATTTTACACAGATATATGCAGCCCTCGCGAGTCTTTCTTTCTTACTTTATTTTATAACGTCGATCGGATCGAACGTGCTATATATGCACCTACGTTATGCGCGCGCTAGGTAATAGGTACAGGACATAATCCAACGTTATTATATGAGCAACGGGTTCCGAATTTATCGGTTCCTTCTCGACCGTCCCATACCCGACGAAATTTGTACATCCTCTTTTTGTCCAAGGTACTATTTCGACGTTTGCCGCGCAGCGGAGATTCGGACTTGTATTCGGCGAGAACAGTCGATCAAAAAATCAGCCACGTTCCATGAAAGCTCGAAGTTTGAATTTCTAAGTAAATGACGATAATTTTTTCGTTCACCGCGGGGTGGCTGAAATTTTCGTCATGCATCAACGGAAGGCTCTCTATAAAATATCGATCCCCCAAGACGCGAAAACATAGCTACAAGCCACAGAATAATAATTGTTTAAATATTATTTTTGAATATGCGATCGATGGGTTGACACAGCTAAGGAATTTCAAGATGCTTCAAATTGTCGATAGAATAATAATCGAAACTCAATTTTTTAACTTGTTCATTTGTTTTATTCGTATGAAAAGTAATTCGCTAATTTGGTCCCGCAGTCGCGAGACAAACGTTACACAAATCCTCGTTGGTCAGTTCGTCGATGATCATATCGCAGCAAAGAATCGGCAGCCGATATCGTATCAGCTCCATAAAAGGCTCCAGCGCCCAGCTGTAGAAAAATTTCCTCGACGTTCTATCGAATTCGTACAATTTTTTATAGGTCTCGAGCTCCGTAGTATTCCTTTACAGTGAATCCCAGCTCGCTGGGCGACGATAGAAGCAGATCGTCGAGCGTCAAACTCGGCTCTTTGGCCACGAACTCCTCGTAGTCGTGGCAACGCTCCGTGAAATTCGCCGGCCTATAGAACAGGTCGTGCTTGACGAATGTTTTCATGATCTTCAGGGCGTCGCTTCGATCCAGCTCGTATGCTCCTTTCTCCAGACGCTGGACTATGGCAAGAAGTTCGGGCGCCTCGTTCACTTTTGCAACGAGCGATGCACACCTTAAATTCTCGGGAAAGTGACTCTCGTCGGGAAAAACGAAGCTGGACAGATCGACGCCACGATCCAGGAACACGTCGACGTTGTCGGGCAACAATGACACCACGGCGCAATGTAGCGGCGTTCGGCCCAGCTGGTCTCGGGCGTCGACCCGCAACGGCCAATGTAATTCCGCGCTGATCTCGAACAACTTCTTCAAACTGTCACAGGCTGTCACGTAAAAGGAACTTGCTATGACATGCAGAAGAGTCACTCCTTCCGCGTTGGTCGAGTTCGGATCGGGGCCTCTTCTCAGCAGCAGCTCGACCAAGGGTGGGTTTCCGTAGATCATGACAAAGTGCAACGGTGCGTTGCCCGACTTATCCCTGGCGTTGACCAGCCGCTACGCCAGCCCCGGTTTTTTTTCGTCGCAGACATCGAGGAACGTTTTTACCACGGCAACGTTCGTGAATTTCTTGCACCGCGAGTGCAGGGCCGTGATCCGTCCGCGTTGGCTGGTTACTTGCGGTAACAGAAGTACTACGTATAGTAGTGTTTATGTCGATAATATCACGACCAACTGACGTGTTCTAGGGGCTACACGAAAATGCCAAAAATCGGTTAGGCATTGCTTGTTTTGCCTAAAAATTTTCAGTCATTTCGGGTATTGCCTAAATTGTTTAGGAATTTTCCATAATTTTAACGGAATTTCGGTTATGACCTAAAATCATAGGCATTTCTCTTGTGCCTGTAACATATAAATATGAATTCCAACGATTTTTACGCGCAGATAATGCAAAAAGTGCACCCGAACCGACGCCGGGAAGAAAAAGCCCACCGCACACGTGTTCCACAGCTCGCAATTACAGTGCACATGTGTGCGGTGGATTCCAAAAGTTCGCCGACCGTACTGCTGCACGACGCACGACGCGTATGCACACTCGATTCAACGACGACGACGACGACGGCGAGCAGAAAGGGGATTCCTAAAATGCGAGAGCCGCAGACGCTTCTATTCCGGCGCGCACCGATGCAGCGCATAGTCCGAAGAATCATTTTTTTTTCTCTCTTGCTCTTTTTCCTTTTACCGAAGAGAATCGTGCGCGCAGAGGTCGGCGTCCTCGCGCGTGCTGCAGCGGTGCACGGCAGCTACTTCTCTTCGCGTTCGATGTTTATACATGCGTGCCTGCGCGCGTGTAAGTGCATCTTGATCATCGCGACTTTCTCGCGCGCAAATAGCTCGAGCCTATATATATACCCACACGCGTTGCATAGCGCATCTTCGTCTTGTGCGCGAAAGCGAATTTGACGCATAAAGTGTACGGTGCAGTGCGGCGGCTATTATTGCGGTCGATTAAATTTAAAAGACCCAGCGACGCACGCGTTAAAAGGTTAAGAAGAGGTGGGAAGGAAGTACTCGCGGACGAATTTCGATTCGTTATAATTGATAATACGCGATGGAATACCCGAGGAACAAGAAGTCAAGAGGCGTATGTGCGCGTGTGTATGAGAAAGAGAGAGACGATAGCAGAATTCATCGATAATCGCAATAGAAATAATTAATACTATTCATTGCCGCGATGGAGTGCTTGAACGAAAAAAAAAGAAAAAGAAAACTATTTAATTTTCTCTCCGTTCGATGCCTCATTAATGCTTCGATACCTCGAGAGCATCTCCTCGTGATCGGCGATTGAAATCAACGAAGCAATAAAATAATTCGACTCACACTCGAATGCGTATTATAAAGGCGATATCACGTGCTGGTGGAGCCGGCCGCTATATTTATATTATTGATAATGAACTTGAAAACACACGCGTACGTCTCGATGGTACATAAAACAGCCCATCGACTCGTCATCGCAGCTATGAAGAACTGCCTTGTGTATACATGATGTATTAACGGAGGAACTCTGCTGAGCACTCGAATCTCGCGCTGTTATAATAATTGTAATATTGCGTGTGCGCGAGCTCGCGGGTGCTCTCGAGCGTGTGCTCCGCGGCCACTCGCATTTCTCTCTCTCTTTGGCGGGTGCGCACGAGCGTCACGTGACACGCGCCACGAGCCTCATTATGCCATTGTTGTTGTTGCCGTTGTTGTTGTTATTATTTTTTATAATGCGCAACGCGAGCAGCAGTGCGCATAGATCTGGCTAGCTGCATTCGTGTGTGTGTGTGTACGCGTGCACATCAAATAATAGCTGCCGCGTACCGTATACGCGATGATATATGGTTGATTCCGTCGATACATAGTGAAGCTTTATATACAGGTGTCCGGAGCCGACCAGAGGCTCGAGCTTCATAGCTGAAGAATGAATCCACAATCTTCTGTACTGTTTTTGTTATCAATTTACATGGGTTGATCTCTATACTAAGAGAGCGGTTATATACATAAAACTATCCGAAATGTCTTCAGTATCGCATTCATTAAATGGCATTGCGAGTCTTCTCTACAGATGACAATTTTTCTAACAATTCGTCAAATTCGAGTCTTAAAAAAAATTCCTGCATGTCCGCGCGCGCACCGTTGGAACAAACCATGTATACGCGGGTATAATACTGTGCAAAAAACCAATACAGAAAGAGAGAGAGAGAGAGAGAGAGACGAGTGTACCGTTAGTTCAACTGACCAGATTCTGTATGCGTTGCTTCGAGCTCTTGCGGCGCGTCTCTGCACCTTATAGTATATATAATATATTAATAATAGCAGTGGAGAGCTACCGATACAATATACATATGAGTCATTTCACGTCAAGTCTCCTAGCGCGGCGCCCGTGCGGCATTATTAATCGATATTGCTCAATTTGTAACTCGCCAGAAAAGCACCTAAATGCACCCAGAAAAAATATGTGCCATATGATTTTGATAGGAAATCTCCTCAGCTTTCCGATGATGAGGTCAGATTTTCCAAAATTTTCCATTTTCCCCGGAAAAACTTGACATAAACTTTCAAACTCAAATATCTCAAAAACGGCATTTTTAAGATTTTTTTAAATAGTGCCAATCGAAAGCTGAGAAAATTTCCTATCGATATGCAAGTTTTCAGAGAGTACTTTTGATAATTATTCAATGAAATACAGCGACGAACGTGTAAAAACGTGAGATTTTGCGCCGCGCGGGGTACTGCGCGCGGGAACAGCTGCCGCACGGGCCGAAATGTCACGTTTTTACACGTTCGTCGCTGTATTCCATTGAATAATTATCAAAAGTACTCTCTGAAAACTTGCATATCGATAGGAAATTTTCTCAGCTTTCGATTGGCACTATTTAAAAAAATCTTAAAAATGCCGTTTTTGAGATATTTGAGTTTGAAAGTTTATGTCAAGTTTTTCCGGGGAAAAGTGAAAATTTCGGAAAATCTGACCCTACCATCGGAAAGCTGAGGAAATTTCCTATCAAAATCATATGGCACATATTTTTTCTGGGTGCATTTAGGTGCTTTTCTGGCGAGTTAC